CAAAACAACAGAACACCGGCACAGAGCGTCTAGTTCTGGGACTTCTGGTTAGGCCGTTAGGGGATCTTTGACCTTACTTCCAGCCGGCGGAACAGGAAGCAGCAGAATGCCACGGGGGACGCATCTCTTGGGGCCCTGTGATAGCTATTGCCAGCAACCACATAACCACAGTAACCATCATCCAATCTACTGTTCTGGGGTGTCATGGATTTCTAATTGACCATTATTACTGAGATAAGTGAGGGGGAGGCTGGGAGAGGTGTGGACCTATGCTATGCGGCACGTTTCCCACCATTAACAGTTAGTTAAAGAATTCCCCGTCCCCCTCAGTTAACTTAGTTCATGGCAACCCACACAAGTTAAGTAATATCAAGACCAACAAAAGGAACTGACGGATTGATGAACAAAGAAATCACTAAGCAAGTAAGTGAAATAACTAGTTTTTGGTTGATTAAATACAGTTATATGTTACAATTATACATTTTTCTTATTTAAACTATAAATATTGCAAAATTATGGTTATTTTCTTGAAGTGACACCCCACCTGAATTATGCTCGGTTTTTTGGTGAATTTTGACACACTAACCTTAAAAGGTTGCCCATCACTGGCCTAATAGGTATAGGATGGATGACACCTGGCTTGGAAAACAGTCCACATGAAAGAGATCTAGGAGTGGGTTGCTGTGATTTTTTTTGGCTGTATGGCCATGTTTCAGTAGCATTATCCCCTGATGTTTTGTCTGCATCTGTTGCAAGCATCCTCAGAGGTTCTGAAAATGCCAGCCACAGATGCAGGTGAAGCGTCAGGAGAGAATGCTACTAGAACATGGCCATACAGCCCAAAGAAATCCCTCACAGCAACCCAGTGATTTTGGCCATGAAAGCATTTGACAATATAGATCTGAGGGAGATGTAGTTTTAAATATAATTTTAATGGATGCTTCAAATGACTGTAAGTCCCACATGTCCTGATTTATAGAGGCCTTTGTCTGCAAAAATGAAAGAGCTGCCACAGGGAGGTGGATATTATCAAGGATTAATTCAACAGAGTAGAACTGGCTAGCTAACACTCCAATTTCTCCTAGCCGCATGAAGTCTGTGTTTGAAATCGAAAAGTAGATAAGACAGAGAATCAGGGTCAGAGGCATGAAAGGATAATTGTGCTTTTGTCCTGCTTGTTAGAGTTATAGAAGAGCCAATGAAAATCTGTATTAGCCAGCTTAGACCAATTAAATAATCTATTTTTGAACACCAGTGAGAATTTGCTTTTAATTTTCTGTTAAAGTGATAAAAAAGCCTTGCAACCCATTTCAGGGTATTACAGACCTTTTTGTGCAGTGAGCACCCTACTATCGCCTATTGTTTTGGCCCACAATAAACAGCTTCTGCAGTTGGAATCCATCTTAGGACATACGTTTCTTTTTGCTGCCCTCATGAGCCCAAGGGGGCTCCTGACTTCGTGCAGAGTTCTGGAGTGCTGGTGAGCCATTGCCCCTACAGATGTAGGCATCTTAGTAGACCACAAGCTGAACATCAACAGTGTGATGCAGCAGCTAAAAAAGTCGATTAGCCTAGAAGACTAGGATATGGAGCAATGGATTCAAATTGTAGGAAAGTAGATGCCACCTAAACATTAGGAAGAACCTGATAATTAAGAGGTGCTCAACAGTGGTATATGCTGGATGTTGGAATGTGGTGTATTCTCCATCTCTGGAGGCTTGTAAGCAGAGGCTGGATGGCCACCTGCTTTGATTGTGAGTCGGTGATGGGTCCTTGTGGTCTCTTCCAACTCTATAATTATATGGAAGCAAAGCCATTGTACAAGGAAAGATAGGACACCTTTTGCCAAAATAATTATATGCAAATTATTCTTAATTCCAACATGTTATTTCTTCTTCTTTTCTGTTTTTGCAATGCATTAAACACAATGGAGGAGGAGATGCAGGACAGAGTATCTTTTAGAACAAGTCGGGAAACTTTGGTCCTCCAGCAATGCTTTATCATTGGCCATTCTAGTTTGGAGTGGAGGAATCTGGAGTTAAAACATCTGGACGACCAGTTTCCACATTCCTATTAGGGTTCCATGTGTGCATGCCTGTCTGTATGTGCCTATATCTGACACCAAATTAGCTCCAGAAGAAGGATTTTTTGACTTTGTGTAATTATAGATTGGCAGCCTGAAGGAAGAAGCAACACATACCAGTTTTACTATATAACACGAGCTTCCTTGTTTTTGTTTTTGTTTCTTATACAGTTTGCTCAGCTCAATACTTTGACAAAGAATCTAGTGTTAATACAAAGATTAATAGCCCATTAAACATGCCTCCCACAGCATCTGCGGCAATTGCAGGCCACACAAATAGCTATGAAGTGTGAGAGAGTGAGTCCTTCTTTCCCCTTCGGTTTTATGGTGAATGTTCAAAAACAAAGGACTCTTCAGTGCACAATTTTTGTTTAATAAACATTTTTTGAGATTGTTCTGAAAGTTGTCATACTCTTACTTTCAGTCATTAAAACATCTCAGATGTATTCCAAGCAGAAAAAGAGTATCTTCACCATATGGGAAACAAACTGCTTTTTGATCTTTCTTCATTGCCTCCAGTTTCTTGAACCTAGTGGAAAATTCCAGCCTTGTAAAACACAGTTCCTCTCCGAGTCAGAAACTCTCAGAACAATCATACATTGAAGAACAAACTATCTGCTGCATATTGAATTATGGGAATATTTAGAAACAACACTTTTTTTATATTCCGCTCCATCTCCCTGAGGGGACTCAGAGCAGATTTCAACATACACAAACAAGCAAAAATTTAATGCCTTTAATACAGTGAGAAACAATGACACAAATACACGAACAAAGGTAAAGGCTTCCCCTTTCATTTCTGGCTTCTGGAGGTGGTGCTCAACTCTGGCCATGGAAAGGTGCTCTTTTTCCATTTCCAGGCCGAGGAAATGTTGTCTGTAGACACCTCCTTGGTCGAGTTGCTGGCATGGCTGCATGGGCAGCTTTATAACCTTCCCACTGAAGCAATCACTTTTGATCTACTCAATTTTGCATATTCTGGAACTGCTAGGTTGGCAGGAGCTAGGGCTAACAGCAGTAGCTCACCCCGACCTGCAGGATCAAACTGCCAACCTTCTGATCAGAAGTTCAGCCACACAAAAGTTTAACTCATTGTGTCAACTGCTGCCCCCCATAAATGATGATGATGATGTTTATTTATACCCCACTTTTGCTCTCCACAAAGGAGGCTCAAAATGGTTTAAGAGGTTGTTCAATCCAAAACTACGGTACTTTGATGAGAAGTGAGCAAGACTTTAGTCTGAAACATAGGAGACATACAAACTCCCTCTACGTCCCACCTCGGAGTCTAAGATCCTCTGAGGAGGCCCTGCTCTCGACCCCACCTCTATCACAAGTGAGGCTGGCAGGGACGAGGAGCAGGGCCTTCTCAGTGGTGGCCCCTCACCTGTGGAACTCACTCCCCGGGGAGATTAGATCGGCGAATTCCCTTTTTCCTTTTAGAAAAAAACTGAAGACCTGGATGTGGGACCGGGCATTTGGACATTCTGGCAGCTAAAGAAAGACCTTGATGATGAGCTGGAACTGACGAAACGGAATGGATTTACGGAACTCTGTGCGCTGAGCATATGATTCGTTTACTATTGTATTAGTGTATTGTTATGTACTGATGATTTTAATTTGTTAACTGTTTAAGTGCTGTATGTATGTATATTTGATATAGGCATCGAATTGTGCCTTCCTTTGTAAGCCGCCCTGAGTCCCCCCTCAGGGATGAGAAGGGCGGGGTAAAAGTAACTGAAATAAACAAACAAACAAATAAATAAAACTGAGCCCCAGACTAAGAAAGAAAATACTATCTCTGTGATGCTTCCCACCAGCACCATTAGTAACAAACCCTGGCTCAAACTAAATGGGAAGGCACAAAAACGGGCAGCTGGAATGAGGAGCAGGGCAATGAAATATGCTTCCACCATCACCATCACTCCCTGCCTCTGAAATCACATCAGGACGGATGTCCCTCCACAAAGCCTGCTATTTCTCTGCTATAGAACTTACTTCTTCTTTTGCTGGTTTAGTCAACAATGCTGGGTATCAAGAGGAACTTGCCAAAAATTTGGCCCATCAGTTGAAACAGATGTAAATCTTGTCAGGTGGATCAATAACTAGTTGCAAAGCCACCTTCAAAGAGTTGTAATTAATGGCTGCATTTCAAATTAGAAGACAGTCTTAAGTGGGTTGCCTCACACTTCTGTTTCTGGTTAAACACTAGGTCAGCGGTTCGAATCTGGGGAGAGTGGGTTGAGCTCCCTCTGTCAGCTCCAGCTACCCATGTGGGGACATGAGAAGCCTCCGACAAGGATGGTAAAACATCAAACATCCGGGAGTCCCTGGACAACATCCTTGCAGACGGTCAAGTATCTCACACCAGAAGTGACTTGCAGTTTCTCAAGTCACTCCTGACATGGGAAAAAACATCAAAGTACTAGATGTTAAAAGGACATTGAGGTTATTGTTGATCATAAAGTGAACATAAGTCAGTGGTGTGATGTATCAGTTCTTGAGGAACACATGCAGAAGGCTTCTCTTGTGCTGAGGTCCACCTAGTGAGCTTCCTGCAGGTAAGTGACAAAATTAATCAAGAAATAGGTGGTCTTACAGAAGTGTCTCTACGGCAGTTTAATGTTCATGCATATATAGAATTGAATGTGATAATTCTATAGCAATTTAAAAGCTCATCTCCAAGGCTCTACATGGATGCATTTTTACAATCAAAACTTACCTGTTTCTGCCCAGTTTCTAAGTAACAGCTGATGGGTTAATAGTCTAATCCTATACAGGTCTACTTAAAAGTAAAGCTCAGAGCATCTAATAGGCTAATGCCCAAGTGCATGTTTATAAGACTACAGTCTAAAGTGAATTTTGGCAGGAATCTGAGTGTGTGTGTGTGTTTGTAAGGAGGGGGAGAGGGGGAAAAACACTACCGTTGAACAACAGTTCATTCAGCTTGCTTGTAACTGCAGAGGTGCATACCAGGAAAATTCACAAGATTCTTGGAGTTTTTTTTTTCAGCGAAGAGCTCTCATACTAATATTTTATTCACTTCATTATCTTCATGTGAGAGAAGAACTAGGTAAGTTATGCAATATCTTTAGAAAAGGTAAAATGAAATAGACTTATTCAGAGAAGAATCTGTTAGTTGTGTTTTAGGATTTTGCTGGGGAAGTTTCCTGGTTGAAGAAAGTCAAGGTTCCTGGATACCGACTGTGTTTCTCCACCTCTCGCACATAGAAATTAGGTAGCTGTGCAGTCGGTCATTTTAAATTGTTGAATAAATTGCCAGGCCTCCAATCATCCTGGAAGTGAGAGAGATCAGTTAGCATCTTGCAAGCGGTGTATGTGCAGCTTCATTCTTGAAGGCTTCCATCTTAAAGAGTCTTTTGTATTTTAAGAAGAGAACCATACAGACAGAATTGTGACTCAGGAGATGAATTTACTGAGGTCTAACATCACTAATAACACTTCTTTGGTCTCCAGCTGGAATTAAATCCCCAGTTTGAGATAATATTATCCTGTTTTTACCCTCATAACGTAGTAAAACCTGCATATTGGCGTACTCAATGTGGTAGGCGAGAGACAGGTAAGTACCGTTGATTTAAAATAGACAAAAGCATATCAAATGGAGGGGAAGTCTTCTGCAATAGTTATGAATGTTTAGTTTAAGAAAACAATAATCAGCTTGCTGGCTTTTTATGAGGGCAAAACAACTATTTCCCAAGTCACCATCTGGGAAAAACAGGTCCAAAATGTTATACTAAGGGATATGTAGTTTTAAAAAGGGAATTTTCATGGATGCTTCAATGACTGTAAATCCCCTATGTCCTTTGTTTGCAGAGGGCACTGACAGTATGAGAAAACGTTGCTGCAGTGAGGAAGTTACTTTTCAAGGACAAAAGTACATCAGGACAGAACTAGTTAGCTTGTACTCCCCTAATTTCCCAGCCGCTTGAAGTATCGACCTATAGATACTTTCTAACTGAGTGTTCATGGCTGGAGAACAATCAGTGCCATTGTTAAGATCCCACAAGTGCCTTCCTCTATGTTATTTATGGAGAGCCAATGAACATCTGTATAGCCAGCTTAGACCAATGAAATTATTGATTACTTTTCTTACTTACTTACTTACTTACTTAGGCGATCCCTCATAGTTCGAGGATGATGGTCCTTCAAGGTGATGGTCCTCTTGGTGGCGGGTCTGTATGTGGCTTTGGAGCCCTATTCTTGATCCACATGTTCTCCCGCAGTGAGGACATCGGTTTCCAAGTGGAAGGCGGTCCCAGCCAAGGTTGGCTTGATGCGCCTTCCTCTTGGCACGTTTCTCCCTTTCACCTTCCATTCAAGCCTCTTTGAATTCCGCAGCACTCCTGGTCACAGCTGACCTCCAGTTAGAGTTTTCAAGGGCCAAGGCTTCCCAATTCTTGATGTCTATGCCACTGTTTTTGAGGTTGGCTTTAAGCCCATCTTTAAATCTCTTTTCCTGTCCACCATTATATTTCTCATTCTTGAGTTGAGAGTATAGGAACTGCTTTGGGAGGTGGTGATCGGGCATTCGCACAATGTGGCCAGTCCAGTGGAGTTGATGGCATAGGAGCATTGCTTCAGTGCTGGTGGTCTTTGCTTCTTCCAGCACATTGACAGTTATCCGCCTGTCTTCCCAAGAGATTTGCAGGATTTTTCAGAGGTAACACTGATGGAACCTTCTAGGAGTTGAGTGTGATGTCTGTAGACAGTCCACGTTTCGCAGGCATATAGCAGGATTGGGAGCACAATGGCTTTATAAACAAGCACCTTGGTCTCCCTACGGATGTCCCGGATCTCAAATACTCTCTGCTTCAATAGGAAAAATGCTGCATTTACAGAGTTCAGGTGGTGTTGTATTTCAGTATCAATGTTGACTTTTGTGGAGAGGTGGCTGCCAATCCCTCTAGCATTGTAGAGGGATTGGCTGGTGCCTTCTGGAAGAGAACTTTGGTTTTCTTTATGTTCAATTGCGAGGCTGAGCTTCTCGTATGCTTCTGCAACAGTGTTTGGAGTGGCTTGTTGGTATTTTTCTGAATGAGCACAGGTTATCATTAGCATATTGGAGTTCTATAACTGATGTTGTCATGACCTTGGTTTTGGCTGTCAGTCCGCTGAGGTTAAATAGCTTACCATTTGTCTAACAGATGATTTCCACTCTGGTGGGGAGCTCCCTATCAACAAGATGAAGTATCATAGCGATGAAGATGGAAAATAAAGTTGGGGCAATAGCACATCCCTTTTTGACACCTGATTCTACCTTAAATGGGTCACTTTGGGAGCCATTGCTGTCCAAGACGGTTGCCATCATGTCATCTGTATACCATGTCATCTGTACACCAATGAGAATGTGTCTTTAATTCTCTGTCTATGTTATAAAAGCCTTGCAGCCCCATGTGGGGGTGTGACAGACCTTTTTATGCTCCATGATTCTGTCCCTATTGCTTTGGCCCGCAATAAACAGCTTCTGCAGTTGGGATTCAACTTGTGGTGTGTCTTCCATTACATTGCCCTCTTGAGTCCAAGGGACTCCTGGTGACGTGCAGAGAGCTGGAGGAGCGTCAGAAAACCATTGCCCCTACAATACCTGAGACAGGACAACACATTGAATTTCTCCCGAAAGTCAAGATGCATAGTAAACTAGGACACTTGAGGTGGAAAAATGTTGGGATTAAAGATGTAATGGTAATAATTACATAATCCTTTGCTGTCCTTTCAAGGTAACCACAATTTGTTGTCTGTGGTGGCTCCCTCATTTTATTCTCATGTTAGGACCAAAGAAAATAATGAGGACATGGGGATAGCACAGGGTTGACCCAAAATATTTTGCTGCCTGAGATAGAGCAGCAAAGGTTTCTACTAAAGTCAAGATACATCATACTCAAAGATTTGTTAATTGATGTTGACACAAAGTACAAAAAAAAAGCACCTCTTCCTTGCTTGTGTGGTTAACATTATAGCCACACTGCATGATTGTAGCACTATGATTCCACATTAACAGACATAGTTCCATCCTATGGGATCCTGTAGTTTGATGGGGCACAAGAGGTTCCTGGCAGAGAGTTCAAGGGCTGCAGTTGAGGAGAATGTATTAATTATGATGTTATAGTTATGTGCCATCAAGTCGTGATTTACATCAGTTCTCTGTGAATCTATCACTGGGTTTTATTGGCAGAATTTGTTCAGAGAAGGTTTGCCCTTGCCTTCTTCTGAGGCTGAGAGAGCGTGGCTTGCCCAAAGTGGGTTTCCATGTTCAGGTGAGGATCTTGACCCTGGTATCCTAGTGTTTAAGTCTAATAAAATAATAATAATAATAATAATAATAACCACTAGGGAGCAGAGCAGAAGAGAAAACTGTTAAAAGAAGGCTCTCCGTGGACAGTTCTTGGAAAAAATTGAGAGCAAAATTGACAAGGAAAAAAACATGGATGTGACTCACAAATGAAACTTTGAAAAAAGGAGACCAAGGGCCTGATTCTTGCAGCCCAAGAACAAGCAATTAGAACAAATGCCATCAAAGCCAGAATTGAAAAAGTCGACTACAGATTCCAAGCATAGTCTCTGCAAGGAAGCAGACAAAATGATGGATCACATAGCTGCTGCAAGAAGATCGAGCAGACCGACTACAAGCAGAGGCATAATACCGTTGTGTCACAAATAACATCTGCCTGTGATAGAGAACTGGTGGGATCACAAGCCTGAAAAAGTTACAGGAAACGAACACATCAAACTATTCTGAGACTTCCGAATTCCAACTAATAGAGTTATGGAGCACAATACTCCTGACCTCATGATCATGGGAAAAAAAACAAAGTATGGATCATCGATGTTGCAATCCCAGGTGACAGCAGAATTGACGAGAAGCAACTGGAAAAGCTTACACAATACAAGGATTTGAAGATCGAACTACAAAGATTGAACTGTCACAAGCCAGTAAAAGTGGTCCCAGTGGTAATTAGCATACTGGGTGCAGTACCTAAAAACCTTGGCCTGTACTTAAAAAAAGGCCACCCTACTCAGATCTGCATGCATTATTCACTGATACATCACACAGTTCAAGACACTTGGGAAGTGTCCAACGTGTGATCCAATACAGTAGCCAGCATAGGGATCTTGTTTGCTGTGTACTAATCTTGTTATACATTTAATAGCTAACAATTTGTTGCTCTTTCATGCTTACAAATAAAGTGAGTCTGCCTGCAGTAAGGCAACTTTCAGGACTGCAGACTGAGGACACAAGGACAAAGGAAGCAATGTGGAAAGAAGGCAAGGGAAAGTAAGGAAATGAACCTTTTGGCTCCAGACAGTTCATTCCGAAAATAGTATTGTTGTACTATGTAAAATACCCTAAAATAACAGTGCCCATTGAGGGGGCTGTTATATACATACATTGTGCTACAGAGTTTTTAGTTTGTGTGAGTATGTGACCAAAGAATGTTTATATCGGTATAATTTTACGTATTTTCTCTAAACTTCCTGTTGGCCTGAGATTGATGTTAACCTGCTGCTCGCCTAACCCAGCAACCTCCTCGATTTCACTCTTACTCTCAAGCTCCCTGTCATCCTTTCTGCAATAACTGCAGGGCTTGTTAAGATACATCAGGTCTCTATTTAAGAAATATAGACTTTTAAACACTTATTTCTTTGTAAAGTTAAATATACAGAATATGGTAGAGGATTAATAGTAAGTAGGAAGCAGAAGTGTCAAATGCTACAGCCTGTGATTTTAACCAGTTCTGATTCATAAGGAATAGAAACAATCACCATCATGTCAAGGTTTGTTTGTTTGCAATGCGATGGGGCAGGAAGAAAGGTCTGGTAGGGAAAATCTATTTGGAGCCAAATAATTTGCAGAAATATCTTTTGAAAGGAGAAAAAAATTCCAAGGATTGAAATATACATTCTCAAAACAGTGAGCACAGAATGATGATGGTGATTTTTTGCTTTGAGGTGAAAACAATTTGGGGACAGGTTAATGATAAATTCAATGGGATATCTGAAGGGGGTCGTAGCTAGCTGGCTTGAAGAAAATGAAAATATTTTTTGCTTTAAAGAAACACCTTCAACACACACTCCTAGCACAAAAGTTAACTTGTTTATTGTTATTCAAGTACAGCAGCCTACCCCTTGACCTCTTATTTTCTAATGCAAATATGTAAGTGCTGTACTTGTTCAGTATTGAATTGCCTTTGTTCACGATGACTAACTAATCTAACAAAAGAAATCTAGAACGTTGGGAATGTTCAAGGCAACAGGATGACTTAATCATAGAACATCTCCATTCTTTTACAATTGGTTCAACCTCATTTGGTTTCCTTTATTCTGTTTCAGAAAATATATTTGCAGACTCATGGTTGTCAAGGTAAAATATATATCGGGGTCCCATGCATCTCATCAAACTTTGATGTGATACATACCGTTATGTGCAATCAAAGTCATCCTGCATTTTAACAGCTCCTTCTACAAAGAAGAAATTAATACAAAGATAGTAGAAATGACAATATTACCCCTCCCCCCAAAAGAGGTAACAATTCCCCTAAGACACTATCTCTAACCTGGAACAAAATAACATATTAGACAGGTTTCAACATGACACAGTGGCCTGTTAAGTAAGAATTTAATATTATGTTCTATCTGTTGTATTTGTTGTTGAGCCACACCTCCCCCCACCCCAAAGATTTATAGAACACCAGGTGGCTTCAAGATGTATGATTTTTTGAATTAAAAACTTTTTCATAGGCCTGGAGTTGCAAAATACTAGGCACTGGAATTGACTTAGTAGTAACTGTACCCTACAAAATTTTATCAAACCTAACCATTTAATAAAATTAATCCATGTGATGATTTTTGTGTAACTTGTCTCTTTTATGTACTATGTTCATTCCTAAACTGTATCAAATGAAATGTATCAAAATGTATATAGAAGGCAATCACCTCTCCATGCCCCTAATTTACATAATCACGTGAAAAAGGAGATGATGTCCAGGATCCCTCCAGCCATTTCCCAAGCCAGATAGCTATTAGATTCTTTGTGTATATATGTAGATAGATGATCCCCTTTGTCAATAAAACAAGGTCAGGATTTAACTTGAGTCTGCAAGTCTGCTGCTCCTGTGAAAGAGGGGCTTAGATGTGAATTCGTTAACTCTCTATGCTGGACGTCAAGCCCTTGTCTAAATTCACCACCTTTGACTTTTGGGTCTTGCAGCTTTGTTTCACATGGAACTGGACACTTGAGTTAATCAGAGACTCATCAGCATATCCAAACCATTATTTCCCCATGGACTGTGCCTTCCCAAGGGGTGTCTCTGCAATGGTTTGGTTATTTGAACTGCCCAACCATCAGTTGTTGTTCTTCTCACCACAAGAATCTCCTCCTGCAAGATGTGACAACAAGGGAAGCCCCAGCCAATCCGACCGCATACCCTAGCCTGCCTTTTCCCAGCCAATCAGGGGAGAGTGCAGGTAGTCTGAATAGCTGTCAGAACTGTATAAAATGTAATTTATTTCTCTGTAAATTCATACTTGCACCTTTTGATGCAAATTGCTAGCACTTGCATCCTTTTTGGCCTAACTGTAACAAACTACTGTTGCCTTCAACCTGGGGAGCTTGTTTCTCTGTCCTGACTGATTTGCTTTAGTGGATGCTCAATGGGCACAGTCCTCTCTAACTGTAATCCTAGCTAAACTTACTACATATTGACTAAAGCTGCAACAAAATTATCTGCAATCACTCCCCTAAATGACCATTCTGTGGCTGGTGGAAAGGCAGGGAGGTCAGAAAAGCATCTGGCTATCTCCCTGTGTAGACAGTCATATACTAGTTACACCACTCATTAAGACTTATGGGGGACTGCAGTGGATCCCAATGGAAGATGCCATCAGTCATTGATGAAAGATGTTGTCTTTGAGAGTGGCAGATTCTCTCTGAAGGCTTTTAAGCAGAGGCTGGTGCTCCGATTGTGTGTGTTTGTACATAGGCAAATGAGGTTGGATTGGATGACAACTGGGGGTTCTCCGGATCTAGTGAAATATAAACTGCCTTGGAGTCTCCTTCTCAGAAAGTGTTTGAACTGAGGCTGGATGGCTATCTGTTGGATATTTAGATTGTGTGTTACCGCATGGCAGGTGGTTTCCCTAATAATAGGGTTGGCCAAGATCTGTGGAAATGTCAACCTTGCCCAATAATGTTATTTTTTATTTAGCTACTTTCCAATATGTGGGCCTCTGCAAGCCTTCTCCTGGCAGCATCTCTGCTTGTTGGAAATATGGTTGCCGAGCGCTGCCCACGAATCTGCATCTGTGATCGCGTCAAGTATCAAGTCATGTGTTTGAACAAGAACCTCACTGAGGTGCCAGTTAACATCCCTCAGGTCAGTCTTTAAATATTTGAAAGGATGTCACATTGAAGAGGGGCCAAGATGGTTTTCTGCTGCTCTGGAGACTAGGACACAGAGCAATGGATTCAAATTGAAGGGGAAAAAATTCCACCTAAACATTAGGAGGAACTTCCTAACAGCAATAGCTCTTTGGCAGTGGAACACGCTGCCTCCTCGGAGAGCGGTGGAGTTTCCTTCTTTGAGGGTTTTTAAGCAGAAGCTGGATGGCCATCTGTTGGGGGATGCTTTGTGTTTTCTTGCACAGCAAAATGGGGCTGGGCTGGGTGGCCCTTGTGGTCCCATTTAACTCTATGATTCTGAGGCCACTTCCACGCATATGTATAAAATCCCACATTATCTGCTTTGAACAGGGTTATATGACAGTGTGGACTCAGATAACCCGGTTCAAAGCAGATATTGTGGATTATTGGCCTTTTTATTCTGCATTAAATGGCTGTGTGGAAGGGCCCTGAGTGGTGAGGCAAGGGATACATCAAAATAGTGAGTCCTCATGAGGTTGTTTTCTCTTGCTAACCTCTCCTTCAGACTTGAAACTTCCAATACAAAATGTGGAAATGGCTGCAGCTTTTCCAACAGGGTCACAAGAACTGGATTCCTATGAGCCCCTTACCATCAGTTATCTTGGCTAGGCTGCTGGAGGTTGCAATCCAATGACCTCTGAAGGGCTCAAGGAGAGACAATTAAGCCAGAAGGATCTCTGTGACCTTCAGATCTGAATAACAACAAATCCTTCTATTTATTTATTTTACTTGTGGGAGTTGAAGTCCAAAACACCCGGAGGGCCTAAGTTTGCTCACGCCTGGTATTGCGAACTTTCTTAAATTTGGAATTGGTACAGGAATAAACAAACCAAAACTCTCATATTCTGAACTTGCAGCCTAAAATAAAATAGAAATATTTTATCCATTTTATCCCCCCCCCCAAAAAAAACCCTCAAGAGGCTTCTTAATACAAGGAAAGCATAATACCTATAGATCTACTGAGCTTCAGTCAAAGGAGAATTAACATTATAATTAGATTATCCCTACATCAAAAAAATGGGATTTACTGGGTTAGTTCCAGATCTAGGGAGACGAGCCACACAATAAAAGGAATAAATTCATTCAGGCTACAAGAAATAATTGTTGGGGCAGATAATGATATGCTTTTTATAAGCTTTAATATAGATTACTTTCACAGATATATAATCTGTTATATAAATTTGAGGGAATCGGTGATCTTGTCATTTGAACTTTGGACCAGGATATTGGGAGACTAGAGTTTGAATCCCCAATTGGCCATCTTTATATTTTATAACACACTGGGGAATTTCTAGAAGCAATGCTTTTGTAATTAATAGTGGACAGTTAATTGTAGATGGTGCTAACATTTTATCTGTGTAATATGCAGGTAACTCAAAGATTTGACCTTCGCCGTAATGAAATCAAAGTCATCCCTGCAGGAACATTCCTCCCTATCCCATATCTCACCCATTTGAACCTTCAGAAATGCAAGGTGGAAAGAATTGAGGAGGGAGCCTTCAGAGGATTAGGACGTATGGTTTACCTCAATCTGGCCCACAACAATATAGCCTTCATTTACCAGGAGTCCTTTGATGGTTTGTCTTCTCTTCGACAACTAATGCTAGAAAATAATCACATTGAAGAAATAATGCCGGGAGCTTTTGGACAGCTGGGCTTCCTCAACTTTCTTAATTTGGCCAGAAATTCTTTGGTGTATCTACCAGATATGGTCTTCCAGGGACTTCACTTGACCAAGTGGATCAATTTGTCCCATAATTCCCTCAATGTGCTTGCCAATGAACCCTTTGGTGGGCTACCAAATCTAAGGAGGTTGAGCCTAGACCATAATGAACTGCAGTTCCTTCCCACCGATGCACTGTCTAGACTGTCAGGTACAAACAGGTTGGACTTAGGACACAATCCCATTGCTTATATCAGCGAGGAGGCCGTTCAGATGGCTTCCCTGAAACAACTCTTCTTGGACAACATGGTCCTTCAGGATGTCTCACACAGAGCTTTCACCAAGAGCCCTCTGCTTCATACCCTTGACTTGCACAACAACCAGCTCCTTGTGCTGCAGCCATTGACAGAAATGGCCCATCTGAAAAAGGTCAATTTGACAGGAAACCCGGTGCTTTGCACTTGTTACATGTGGCCTTTCAAAGAGTGGGCTGCCAAAAAAAGGATACACGCCGACGTGGTGTGTGCTGGCCCAGTTAGCTCCAGAGGAGAACATCTGGAATCTTTAAGGTCAACAGATATGACGTGTAGGGATCACGCCTTGGAAGAGAAGTTGCTTCCTAGTATGGCCACATTCACCAGGAGCTCCGAGGAGGATGCTGTAAAGTGTCCAAAAGGATGTACCTGTTCATCCGACTACCAGCATGTTAACTGCGACCGCAAAAATCTCCAGAGCATCCCCAAAGGATTTCCTAGCAACACCCAACTCTTGGACATGCGCCACAATGAGTTCCGCTCCATGCCCAAAGACTCCTTCCCGGGCTTGAAAAACCTGACATCTCTTCACTTACAGAACTGCAAGATTGAAACCCTGCAACCCGGTGCTTTCCAGGACCTGAAAAGCCTTGTGTATCTTTACCTCTCAAATAACAGCATCTCTTCTTTAGATGCGGCTGTTTTTAAAGGAACCGCCCAGCTTGCTTACCTCTACCTGGATCACAACAGATTCACACACATATCCCAGGGTGCTTTTCGCTTCTTGCCCAACCTCTTTGCCCTTCACTTGGAACACAACTCCATCAGCCAAATTTCAGATAATGCTCTTTCTGGGATGGAAAAGCTACACTGGCTTTATCTAACGGGAAACCGCATTGCTCAGGTGTCTCCCAGGGCTCTGGGTCAAGCCAAGATGCTGGAGAAGCTTCACCTAGATGATAATTCTTTGGAGGAAGTGCCCACCAGGTCCCTCAGGGGACTGCCCACACTTAGTGAACTGAAGCTGTCCAAAAACCCTATAAAGCACATCAAGGACAATGCCTTTCTTCCCGTGGCAAGATCATTGCAACACCTCTACCTGGATAATACAGGGCTAGAACAGGTAAGCTGGAACAGGAGAGTTGGAAGTTGCATTGTCACATATGAAAAATTCGGGGTCTCTAAGACCACTTAATGTGGCCTCCTAGCCTCCCACAGCTTCGCACTTCTGCCCTTGATGGACCCATGGTTGGTCTTTTTGATAACTTCCATTGAGAGCTGTATCACACTGTTATGCCACTCTATTCCTCTTTAACTGAAGTGGCCATTCTATGGGATTTAGGGGTTTGTAGTTTATTGAGCTGTCTTGATCAGAATGATAACTACTCCTCCCTAATCGTGGATCAGTATGATTTTCAGTTTTGTATAATGACTTGAAATCATAAGAATAAGAACTTGAGAAAGCTAGTCCTGTAGACTACAACTATCATAAGCCACCAGGCATTCTGTTCAAGGAACACTGGGAGTTGCTACCTAAAAATGTAAGTTTTCCATGCTCTGATGATAATGCATTGCTGTTGTGAATGAATTCCTCACATACAACTTTTTCTAAATTTTCAGATTTCTTCTGGTGCCTTTGCTGGTTTAGGTCCAAAGATAAAAAGTATGTACCTGGAGAAGAACAAAATGCACACTGTGCCTGATTTCAGTGCCTTTACAGCTCTGGAGGTCATCAACTTAAGTGACATACCATTCCATTGTGACTGTCAACTTCTCCCACTACGCAAGTGAGCTATTAGCTTCTATTATTGGAGAATAACTATGAGGGGAAGGGGAATACTTGTTTCCCTCATTTGACCACTATGATGCATTAGTTAAAGAGGAGTGAGGAAAATATTGCCAATATTTAGCCCCCAGTCCCCTTTTCACAGCCACCAAGCTCCCAAGTATACCCTCAACTTTCATATTTCACCTAAAATGTTCATTATTTGTGTAAATTGGTTGAAAGCATGCGGTTTGCTTTGATTTTCCTGTCAGTATGTAATGTTTTCTGGTGTGAAAATAACTTATAGTTTAAACCAGGGGTCCTCAAACTTTTTAAACAGAGGGCCAGGTCACAGTCCTTCAAACTGTAGGAGGGCCGGATTATAATTTGAAAAAAGCATGAATGAATTCCTATGCACACTGCACATATCTTATTTGTACTGCAAAAAAAAAAAAAACACTGAAAAACAATACAATAATTAAAACGAAGAACAATTTAACAAATATAAACTTATTAGTATTTCAATGGGAAGTGTGGGCCTGCTTTTGGCTGATGAGATAGGATTGTTGTTGTTGTGTGCTTTCAAGCCATTTCAGACTTAGGTTGACCCTGAGCAAGGGCTGGGTAAATGACCTTGGAGGGCTGCATCTGGCCCTCGGGATTTAGTTTGAGGACCCCTGGTTTAAACTGTATGGCTTCAGTAATGCATGGGTTAAAACAATAGAGATGTGGAGAATTGGTAGAGTGACACTTGTGAAAAGGAGCTCTGAGCTGTGTAATGTGTTCTATGCTGCTTGCAAAGATGTGAAGGGACATGATCGGAGATTGTCGTGTATATTTTGTAAATAAAAGATAAAGTACCACTTTGGTCCTCCAGACATTTTGAAGCTCTTGTCAGCTTGACCAGTGGCCTCTAAAGTCGAAAATATCTAGAAGATCAAAGATTATGAACCCTTGCCTTGGAGAAAAGGATAGAAATGTAACAATTAAGATATCTGATCTCTGGAGTTGTAGTCCAACGTTCAAACCCATTGACTGCCTTATTGAATTCTAATTAAAAACTAGGAGAAGTTTTTTCCCCCAATTACAACTTTTAGAATCTCCACTTAGATTGTGGAACTGTAGTTCAACTTAACTTTCCTAAAGTTTTCAAGAAACTGCTTTCACATTTAAGTTAAGTAACTCTGAAAATATCTTTTGGAAGGCTGGGAAAAGAATAATGAAGACCTCCAAATGATATTGGACTGCACATCCCAGCAGCCCTACCTAGTAGTAAAGAATGATGGGAAATGCAGTCCAGCTGCATTGGGAACCATGATTCCTGTTCCTACAAAACCTTCAGTGCTTGGATCAAATACGGAAAACCACAGAGAATGAAGTAAGATCCACTGATTATGACAAGCTGATATACTTAAGTTCTTCTCTTGCTTTAGAACAGTGGTTCTCAACCTGTTTGTCCTGAGGTGTTTGGCCTACAACTCCTAGAAATCCCAGCTAGTTTACCAGCTGTTAGAATTTCTGGGAATTGAAGGCCAAAACACAGGTTGAGAACTACTGCTTTAGAAAAATGCAGTATGGAGTCATTTAATGAAAGCATTATGACCCAGGAGCTACTCATTGCTGCATGACTTTTACCAATAATGGGTCATCTAGCTGAGTAAGAAAATGCATTATATAGCTGAGTGACTATAAATATAGACTGCATTCAAATTTCTCACATTTTCCTCTTTCTCAGGTGGCTTGACAAGCTGAACCTGAGAGTAGGAGCCACGTGTGACTCTCCAGCTGCTGTACGTGGCCAAAAGGTGAAGCGCACAACTGCCTTCCAAAGTTGCCGTGACTGGAGTACCAAGAAGGCCAAGCGGACCAGCTCAACTAAAGCCAAAACTAAGGTTGCAAGTAGGTCTAGTAAAAGGCAGCAAGCGGGAAAAAGACAAATGAGAGCAAGCAAGAAAAGCAAGGCATGAAAGGAAGCAAACCAATATTGCTGAAGGAAACCTCTTGATCTTCTCATCTATTAAAAAATTAAGTTGGAACAGCGAGTATCATCCACACTCATGGCCTACAAATTCACTCTGCTAGAACATACACTTCTTCAAAGGAAGAAAACAGACTTAACGTCATTCAACATTTGGTGAGCCTAAGATGTTAGAGAGTTAGCCAGCAGAACTCTGTGCAAAGATTTAAACAAAAATATATTCAGCAACTTTCAACACATTATAGTTGAAATATACGAACTGTTCAAAATACAAGGATATGCTTGTTTTGTTCTGCTTGTCAGGAAACAATGGAGAGTGACTTTGGAGATATAATAGAACATGTCCCTTGTTCTTTTAAACATGTCCTTGTACCCAAAAAAGGCCTTTCCCCCAAAAGGATAGAAGTTTCCTTTTTTTTTTAAAACAAATGCTTTGATCTTCTGAACTGCTAAATGTTATGCTCATTATTAAATTATCTGCTTGTTCTGCATTTCTACTCAAGCAGCAATTGTATTTTGAGGATTCTTTAATCTAATTCCTTTCCTACAATGGGATTTGCCTTTCCAGTGGATATTGCATGCTTGATCAACATGGTCATTTAGCACAACTCTATGAGTCCATTCTTGGTGAATGACTGGTAGCTCCAGTCCTGTTAGGTCAGATTTTATACAAGTTTCTTTATTAGACTTCCTCTCCAATAATTCACAGAACATTCTGCATCTATGTATGTGAAACTTTTTGTTGTCTGCACTTGCTTAAACTAAATGGCATATTTAATTTTAATAGCAAAAGTGTTAAGTTAAACACAATTTAGATATCCAACTGCTGATAAAAAGATAAATTCTATACTGGAGATAGCTAGGAAAAGAAAGATGTAGCTATCAATTCTTTATGCCAATGTGTGGGCTGACTTATAGCAGTCCTATGAACTTCACTAAGGTTTTCTTAGGCAAAGACTCAGAGGTAGTTTTATCAATTCCTTACTCTGAAATATAGCCTACACCACCGGCTATTTGTTAGTATTTATCAGGGCTGGCCTTTCTTAGCTTCCAAGATCAGACAGCATCTGGTGATTTTACAGACATAAAAATTAGGCTTGTGCAATTCGGCTGGAGAGCAATCCATTTTTGGTATCTGAATTTCGTTGGGTACCCAGATCTGTTTTCAGGAGCCTCCTGAAAATTGACTAATAGAAAAATATGTTTTCAGCTAGGCAGCCGAAAGATCCCGGAAGATTCGTCCAATTGGGAACAATGGGGAACTTACAAGGCTCCCCTTTCCATTCCTGGAATCCTGTCCTTTCTTCCTTTCAAGGGGGCCTGAGTTTGAGCAACGGGGTTAAGGATGCACCCTTCCTGGGCTCCTTTACTTTCTTCCTTTCAAGGGAGTCTGGGTTGAGGAATGGGTTAAGGAAGCATGAACTATGTACTCCCAAATAGAAGGGAAGCTTCACCCAGCAGCCACATGAGCAGTTTCAGGCAGAAAAAAACATGGCAACTGAGCCCTTGCCGTTATAGCCACCCAGAGAAGCCAAAGAAGTCGAAGGAAAACAGTTAAAACGAATCGGTGCACAGGTCTAATAAAAATACTGCGTAGTACAGGCATGGGCAAACACCTGGAGGGCCAAATTACTGGTGTAGTATCATAGAAGGCGATAGAACGTACTGTACTCATAAATCAAAATGATCAAAATTGTGGAACCTCTCACTCAGGAAAGGTTACATTTGGGCTCATACACAGTTATGATAGCAAAAATGATGACATCCTACAATGAAATTTTCTGGAAGATATATTGGGAGGATTAAATGCAAAGAGAGAAAAAACATGAGTTTTGAACAGAACTGTGGGAAATCAGAGTTTGAAAAGAGATGAGGCTGTTGAACTAGACATGAGAATCTTACATGATAGGTGGTCTAATATAACAAAAGGCTTCCACAAACAAATATGAACATAAGGGAAAGCATGAGCAGCAATGTTTGCAAACTTTAGCATGGAAGAGTTACAACCAGATTTCAATCATGCAAACAGGGCATTACATTTGAGTACGTACATATGCTTTGGATGGCCGCCTCTTATTGAAAGCGCCTTCTCACGGCAGGGATGAACATACAATGGAATGAATTCACCCACGACAAGTGTGGCATTTCCCTTTCAGGAGGTTTTTTTTTTTAAAGAGCAAGACCATATGATGAGAGGACAGGCCTTAATTGCAGGGCAGTTGCCATTATAGAAGCTTGGCCTTGAGTCTCTGATTCAAGTCGGTTTTAAATTCTTTCACTAGTTCTGGCACAAATCACACTTGCCATTATCTACAGAAAGAATATTGCAGGAAGCCCATTGTTAGTTTTAATTTATAATGCACTCTTTAAACTAACACCTAAAGGTAACATAATATAAGGTACTTTGTTAAATGTGTACCAAATGTAAAAAGCACAAGCATTAAATCACACTGAAGACAGACTGGCGGTGGACCAGCAAAAACACATGGAAGAAGCCCTTTTCCCTTCATGTAAATGTGCATAGAATTCCTGCTGTATGAAACACCTATTTTTATTCTTTAAGAGTTCTATTTTTTGCCTTGTAATTATGTGTATAGTTTGGATGAATCTAATACTGAGAAATAAACAGATTCAGCTCTAGAATACTTAAAAATGATTTAGTGGCCATAACTGAAAAATCCCCAAAATTTGCATGAAGAAACATGGCGTTTTTTTTTTTTTTTTTGTTTTCTGGGGAAAGTGGATCACTGGTATTCTATGTAGGAATAGAACAGACAATAAGAGCACTATAGCATATTGCGATCCCTCTTGAAATCACGTCTACAGTACAACCCTGTGCATGCTTCCTCAGAACTAAAACTATGTTCAAAATGGAGTTGGGTGGACATATTTAATAAAAATAATAATGATGATTAATTGATTACCTGCCTCTCACTGCAGCTCAAGGCAGGATACAACATCACTGAAATGAGAGATAAAACTATTAAAAAACATACAACTAGATACACAGAGTTAAAATACAAGAAAATGTGTGTAAAATAACATCTTAAATACATCAGGATCTGTTTTGGTATAAAGGTAAATCAAAGGCGGCAGTTTGGAAGCAACACCGGAGGTAAAAAACCACATGGGCCAGAAGGAAGAGGAACGATGTTGCCATTTTGAGACTTGTAAGCCGTACTCTGACATCTTTCTGGCCCTTAGTCCTCAAACTGTGTGTGTTTAGTCATTGTGTGTTACACACAGAGTGTTACACACAGAGTGTTTAGTCATTGTGCATTATCTTGAACTTATTCAAATCGCTATGATGACCACCATCCTCAAACTCCTTTAAAGAACAGAGAGAACTTAATCATTCATATGACACTGCTGCTCTAATTTAAAAAAACAAACCTGCTCTAAAGCATATATTATTTAGGAACACAGTGCAGACAGATTCTAAGCCACAGTGCTGTGTGTACAGACCATCATATTCCAAGGTAAAAAATATATCTTTTTGATGATATCATTCTAGCACCAGGAAGAGCCAAAGCAGTCAAAAGGCTAAACCAGTAATAATCTGTGAATCAAAAGGACAGAAAACTCTACTTCATAACTTATGGACACACAACTTACTTTTATAGGGATCCTTACCTTATCTTGACCCCAAAAGTTTTCTTTCTTCATTTCTTCTAAAGACTCTATTTTCTTTCATATACAGAATCTCTTCTCCATTAAGCCTTATTTACAGATTTTATTAATAAAATTTGAGTTTGTACAGAAAAAAGACAAAAAAACTACACTGCGCATCTTGAAAAGTTTATAATTCTTTTTCTATTTCCTCCTTTTCAAATGCTATTTAATTCAGTTCATAGTAAAAGAAGAGAAAATGGAAAAACAATGGTCCTCTACTCCAGCTACTATCTTTTCAACTTCTTTCTAATAAAAAGCCATGATCTAAAGTAGCTTTATAGGAGTCAGGGCTTCAAGAACATAGGTGTGTTTATCACTGTTTAAACATGTATATATTTGTATTTTCCTCTTAAAAATAAAAATAAAAATAAAAAGGGAAAGGGAAGAAAAGATGTTACAATATATGTACATGGTTGATGGCAGCAGCTCATATACTATTTAATTATCTTCATTCTTTTACCATTTGGACAAAGCAGAATGGGAAGAAGAAAGCAAGCACCAAAAAGGGGGAAATAAAGACAATTTGAGAGAGAGCTGTGATATGACTTGCAGCAACCACCTCCAACAACACTTTTAATACTGTAGTCCTGTAGTTCTTTGGTGCACACATGGATTCCATCAATGTAAGTCTAAACTGCCTAAGAGGATTGCCTCCTCACTTCATGAGCATAAAAAGCTTCTTGCTCAGTTCCTTGCAATGCCTCTTAGAAAGGCGCTTTTTGCATTATTCTGTTTGATGTGTTCTGAGAACTTTATGGGCTGGAATCATATTCTACAAAAGAACTTTAAACAGCTCTAAAACTGTTTTGGACTACTGCCCATGCATCACGAGGGATTCTGGGAGTTGTAGTAAAAAATAAACTGTTATAGCCCCAAGTTTTTGTTTAAGCTCCCAAAATAGGCCAGTGATTCCTTCCGTGTTTTTCCAGGTACTCCAGAGGACTCTGGAGTCTTTTTGCTGCCTGATATTTTAATCCACATCTTCATCCTTCAAGTAGCTGAGAAGCATTGGTCTTGCTGGAGCTTTTGTTGCCATGCTGACTGATACAGGGAACTGTGAGGTTTCAAAATCCGATATTGGGGCGCAAAGGATTTCTTCTTTCACCTGTTTATTGACAGCTGACAGAAAAACAAAAAGAGATGCACAGTAAAAAGACATTATAATAAGGAAACGATTCCCATAACTATTTTACACAGTAAAGGGAGTGGTAAAACATGCTAAATGCCAAAGATTTCTGCCAAACAAGGGAAGAAAAGAAAAGAAGAATCACATAAATACAAATGCATCCCTATTCAAAGATCCCATCAACATTGTACTGAGATAATGAATAATAAATGGGCCTGTATATTACAAGAACCACCCATGAATTTCCAGTCTTCATTTTGCTGGGACTACAATAAGAAAATTACTTTCTATTTTCTAAACAGAAAATAAGGAGTTTTGGTCTAAGTTTATTGCAGCAGCAAATGGATTCTACACTGGATGTGACACTTCAGTATAGTACGTTTGCAGTAATGCTAGTTTCAAAATTGCCACCAAATCACCAGAGACAAATTAAAGGAGGTATTTTGGATCAAGACATTTAGGAATTATGTAGCTTGTTATCAAAACATTGATGTCAATATTGTATCTGGTAGTAGTTTTGCAATAGTAGGGCTTGCTTTTACTAAAGCTGGTTCTGAGCAAAACCTGGATATTTCTTTTTAATTCTTTATACATCAAAATTTTGTTATACATGAAATACCTTCATTACTCTAGAAATGATACTTGAATCTCTTACAGTAGCTACAAAATTACAGGTTTACTGATCTCATTCTTCTAAATAATCACTCCACACATTTTATTTCATAACTCATCCTAAACAGAGGATCTGGGATGTTTGATATAATAAAGCTCTTCCTTTTGGAAATTGCTTAAAGCAACATCCCTGGAACTGATATGACACCATTTACCAAACCCACAGGAAGCTAATGAGATAGCATGTGTAAATTAGTATTTTTCCTAACATTCATGAAGTGGCACATTTTCCTTACTTCCACCAGAAGCTGGTTTTGATGAAGTCTTGTTCACAGGCTGTGCTTCCTGCTTTGATTTTGAAGGCTCTATTCTTGAAGCAGCTTTTGTTTTCTCCTTTGCTTTTGGGGCAGCAATTTTATTGGCTGCTTGTTTGACGGGATGGGCTTTAGGAGTTGCCTTTTTCCCTTGGCAAATAGAAAGAAAGAAATCATACATTCACCTTGTAATAATTTATATCTTACTTTCTTACTCTGTACTTCCTTCAAAGAGTGCTGGACAGCAATACAGTAAAACCTCTACATAAGAATGTCAGGACATAAGGATGTTTTAACTTGAACACATCCTCACTCAGCCTACAGTGACATTTTGACATCCAAACACCATTTTGTCCTACGAACAGTGCAAAAGAGGCCTCTTGGCTCTCTAAACCAGTTCTAACAGCAAGGCAGAGAGAAACAAAACCTGAACTGGATTCCTAGCTGGAATAGTTCTGGCTCCTCTTCCTGCAAGGAAGAAACTGAGCTCCATGTGATTGCTTCCCCTGAACGTTCTGGGAGGAATCCAATCCAGAGACTACATTCCCAAGATTGCAGCCCATCCTGGTGAAGCAGAGCCTCAATCTAAATAATAATAATAATAATAATAATAATAATAATAATAATAATAATAAACTTTGTTTATACCCCGTCACCATCTCCCCAAGGGGACTCGGGGCGGCTAGTACTGTATGTTTTGCTCCAATAAGAGAGAGGGAGAGAGAGCAAGAGGGGGAGGGAGGCTGGAATTCAAGTATGAAGAAAATGATGTTGTTTTACCTTGCTGTACACTGGCTAACATATTTTGTTGCCTCAAATGTGCTTCCTTGCCATAGTGGCTGGATGAAACCAAGCACTGCCTATCTCTGAACATTTTATACATTATTTGCTATTTATAAAGTGAATTTTCTTGTTTAAAAACATGTAACAAAAATGTGGGTGATTTTAGGGGGCCAGGAGCGGATTAATATCATTTCAATAGGGAAGTTCGCTTTGGGATAAGAATGTTTTGACTCAAGAACATGGGCACGGAACGAATTTAATGCTTAAGTTAAGGTATCACTGTTTTGCCTGGTTCTTGCTGAGATGGAAAGATTGTGATTTGGCTATGCCGGAAAGCAGATTTCTGAAAGGAGATATCATTTCACTGAGTGCTCCTCTGTTTTTTTTAAAGCCCTCTAACCAGAAAAGTAGGGAACAGGAAGAGTGGCTTTAAATTAAGCTGATCCCAATGTGTTACTTTTCTGCTATGACGTGTGGGTAGACAGCAGCTCCATGTTACAACTGAAGATACTCACTAGAGCAAGAGAAGAGAACCTCTGGAACATCAGATTTTGGGGACTACAACACTTGAAAATCTTAACTGGCTCCACAAAATTTCTAGGAATTGAACATCTGGGGAGGGGGGGCAAACACCCCCAGTTCCTAGGCAAAATGGCCAATGGATAGAAGAAACAAAAAGATTCCCTTCTCTGCCATATAGGCATTTCCTGCTTAGATGCTGACATGTGGAGGGAGAGGGGCAATAGGCAGTAGCTTCCCAACAAAATTGCTTTACACTATAATACAGATACAGTCATAAAGAAATTGAATGAAGATATTAAATTTAGCACATCCTAGGATTATATGCCGGTGTAAACAAACCCAAAGGATGTTAACAGTATGTTAACAGGCATAATCCTGGAGCACCCTAAAGATCCAACAACGTTTTTAATTACAAATCCCATGCGCATCATTTTTGCCATCATCCTCTATACTCAGTTACAGAGTTAGTGTTAATCTTATCATTCGTAAAGTCAGAGATTTTGCTAGCCACTCTTTGTTCAGATACTGATTTCACAACACAATGAGCCTTCATGGATAAAAAGCTGGTCCAAACCCTACTTACGTTTCTTTCCAAATGGCTTTCTCTTTCTCTTTGGGACCTCTTTGGCTGGCACAGGGGACATGGGCTCTACTACAAGGAGGAAAAAAGAGACTGTATTTATACAAAGTAAAAACTCACTTTGAAGACATTGCAAGATAAAGTTTCTAGATAAAAACAATTGTGATTAGCTTCAACTGCAGCTTGACAGGCGCATATTATGTGAAAAGGGAGGAAGTTAAAAGGGGAGGTTAGGAACTGACAGTCCTTTCGTTCAGGCCTCCACGATCATCCTATTTCCAGTGTTTTCTTCTGTTGTATTTTTGCCTGATATATTTGCAATGGAGTAAATGAATTAAGGAATGCAACCAAAAACCCAGAATAGTCCAAAATGAGCAGATTGGGTGTGTGATCAGCTGCACTTTCCAATAGCACATTCAATAAATAAACAATTTCCATCACTACCACATACATTCCTAGTTAATGTCAGGAAACAGAATGCAGACATACCATTTGTACTTTTTAAATATGTTTTCACAAATAGGTTGGCTAAAATGTTTGTTTAAATTTAAACACACCCACACATAGCCCAAAGAGGCTCAGGATATCATACACTGTACTGCCTTTAATATTTCATTCTAGAAAGCAATTCATTCAGGCAAGTGGTATCTAGATAAGTAGACAGAACTATGATCTAAGACAAAATTAAGGTTCAGAAGCACGAACCTCTGCTGATAGTAGAGACAAGTAACACTACAAAGTGACACTAAAGGAAGAATAACACTACAGGTTATCCCAGGAATGGGCAAACTTCAGCCCTCCAGGTCTTTTGGACTTCAACTCCCACAATTCCTAACAGCCGGCATAGGAATTGTGGTAGTTGAAGTCCAAAAGACCTGGAGGGTTGAAGTTTGCCCATGCCTGGCTTATCCTCTTTGCAATTACTGGAACCATGTAATGTGTTTGAGGACCGGGACATCTGTAGGGATACCAAGGTGCTTATTTGTAGAGCTATTGTCCTCCCAACCCTGCTATATGCCTGTGATATGTGGACTGTCTACAGACGTCACATGGAACTCCTGGAACGATTCCATCAGTGCTGCCTCCGGAAAATCCTGCAAATCTCTTGGGAAGACAGGCAGACAAATGTCAGCGTGCTGGAAGAAGCAAAGACCACTAGCTTTGAAGTGATGGTCCTCCGCCATCAACTTTGCTGGACCGGCCACGTTGTCCGGATGCCCGACCACCTCCCAAAGCAGTTGCTCTACTCCGAACTCAAGAACGGAAAACGGAATGTTGGTGGACAGGAAAAGAGATTTAAAGATGGGCTCAAAGCCAACCTTAAAAACTCCGGCATAGACACTGAGAACTGGGAAGCCCTGGCCCTTGACCACTCCAGCTGGAGGTCAGCTGTGACCAGCAGTGCTGCAGAATTTGAAGAGGCATGAATGGAGGGTGAAAGGGAGAAGCGTGCCAAGAGGAAGGCGTGTCAAGCCAACCCCGACCGAGACCACCTTCCACCTGGAAACCAATGCCCTCACTGCGGAAGAAGATGCAGAACAAGAATAAGGCTCCACAGCCACATATGGACCCACAAGAATACTGGAAGACAATCCTCCTCGGAAAATGAGGGATCACCTAAGTAAGTAAGTAAGTACTGGAACCATGATAAGGAAAGCCACAAAACAAGGGCAAAACCTATCTTGGCTAGAGAACCTTTCTCCCAGAATATTTCATTTCCACTGTAGCTGCTAAGCTCTGGCATTACGATGTTCTGGGGCTTTTAAACTTGAGACGATTTCTCATGCACAACAAAAAGAAGATCTTGTGATGGATAATGCAGACTGACGATCGTATTACACTAGAATAAAAGGTTTATTCTCTTACCTGAGGCCACTGGTGGCTGCAGTTGGAAGCCTATCAGTTCACACCAACCCACAGGATAGATATCAGGGGACTCACAGTCAACCCACTGGTCATATTCACTGTCCCATCCATCAAAGTGGATTTTGAGGAGCCGATGGACCACGCGCTTCACTGTTGCCACACAAATCAGCCTGGGCTCCATCAAGTCTACAGCTTCCAGTTTGAAACCCACCCTGAAGCCATGATTTGGGCAATCCTAGAATGAAGAGAAACAGAATAAATCCAAAGCTAGGTTTATACACACAGACATACACAAAACATACAGTTGTATACCTCCAAAATTCTTAGGCAATCCAATTCTAAAACATATTTTCTAATATTTTATTATTTATTTATTTCAGGCTTGGAATCAAGATGGTTTACAACACACCAACAAAATAATTATCTTACAAAAGTTAAAAAGGAATTACATATAATAAAATAGTTAAAACACTTACTGTATTTGAGCAGGTTTCCAATAAAAGAGGGACAGATTAAAACACTAACACAAAACAAAACAACACACCCTATAGCTCTATAGTTAAAAATTGCCACTGTAAGGCAATTAAGAGGTTTGACTATATAAGGCATACTTTCCTATTTCTTTTTGACTTTGCCTACTGTGAAATACCTGGGTGTATCCACTCTGGTCGAGTGATGTTGTAGTTCTAAGTACAAAATATGACTCATTTTGTACTTAGCAATATAATATGAATGTATTTTAATATGTAAATTGTTTTGTGCTTTAATATTTTGCTGGAATTTAATGTCTTGATAGATCCCATTTTGGGTGAAAAATATAAAATAAATAAGGATGGTTTTTACACTTGATCCCTTTCATTAACACATATTTTGATAACAGGACACAAAACAACATAAACTAACTAAATACATACTAGAGTTGGAAAAGACCATAAAGGCCATCCAGTCCAACACCCTGCCATGCAAGAATGCACAAAGCTCTACTGACAGATGGCCATTCAGTATTTAAAAACCTCAAGAGGAGGAGACTTCACCACACACCAAGATAATATATTCCCCTGTCAAATAGTTCTTGCTGCCAGAGGTTCTTCTTAATGTTTAAGTGAAATCTCTAATGAATTAGTTTCACTCTCTTTTTGATATATTGTTCATACTTTTTTCTGAATTTTGCTGTGTAAAATTTTACATTTATAAATAGCTTGAAAAGTTCTAAAGTAGAAACCAATGCTGAGGCGAAGGATCCCAGTTCCTTTATTGCTTTTATTTACCTTTCCTGTACCTTCAAGACTCTGTCAGAGGAACCAGAATTCTTTACATTACTCCCAAAGTATATGTGTATCAAAACGGGACAAAATGGCACTTCATACGGAGCTGTCTGGTTTGGAGACATGCTGGTGCTTCTGTTCTCACCTTGATCCACTGTGGGGTACTTACCATATTAAACAGACGTGCTGGTGCAGCTTCTGAATCAGTATCTTCTAGATAACTTTCCCAGTCAAAAGTGTTGGCATCATAACCTGAAGTATGAAGTTGGGATGTTACTGGAACAAGACAGTGGTAGAACCATTCCCACCCGAAAATCAAGACCACCAGAAAAACTACTGGTGGCATTATTTGCTCTTCCTTTACAGAAAAATGCAAGACTTCTATAGCCTATTTTTGTGTGTGTAAAAATGCTATGGGAAAATCTTGGAGTACAGCACTATAGCATTTACGGCACTACAGAGCATCCGTACAATAGCAATTTTGCTCCCAGAAATTACCCCACTAAAATTTTGAGAGATTTCTCAAAAGGCCATTTCCCATGGCATGGATTTTTTAAAGAGGTATGGGGGGTTGGGGGTGTGCAATGAGTAACTAGTGAATCTCACGATAAAAAAGAAATTGCATTCATAGTGAATTCTTTTTGGATCTAATATGTTAACTATGTAAATTGTTGCTTCCAGGCTCTGATCTCACCTTTTGGGAAGGTCAGCTCAATGCCATTCTTCATGCAGAAGCCAGCAGGGAAAATGGAATGCAAGGAAGCATGGTAGCAAAACCAATCTGAGCCATCTCTTGAAGCCACACCATCAATACCAATCATGAGGTAACCATCTAAAAGAACCTGAAAATAGGAGGGAAAAGAGAGCTCACACTCAAGTATTTCATCCTGAAGGCCTTTCTATTTAAAAATGTCACCAGAGTAGAGAGATGGACTAATGGAGGTGGATCGGATTAGGTGCCTAAGGCCCCTTCTACACTGCCATATTCTCCACATTATCAAAACAAATAATCCCGTTATCTGCTTTGAACTGGATTATATGTGTCTACACTATCATAATCCAGTTTGAAGCAGACAATCTGGATCTTATATGGCAGAGTAGAAGGGGCCTAAGATTAACAATTTTGATACTCTCCATGTCTCTGTCAGATACTTTTTCTTGCTTTTCTTTCACAGGAAAAACCAAGAAAACTAGTGAAATCCAAACACATTAAAATTATAAAACACTGAATACAAACTCATATAAAACAGTAACATACTGAGACCTTTAAAAGTTAAAGTGGCAGAACTGAACATGATTATTTAGAGAAGGAACTCCAAAATCTCATAGCAGGGCTTCTGCTGTTTCTGTAACAGTTCCAGTTGTAAACCCAAAGCTTACACACCAATACTTCAGAAGACAAACCATGCCAAGAGCATCTGATATGCAAGGAGAAAGTTTGTATTACTGTGCTTGGCTATAACTGCTCCCTCTTTTCTCAGACCAGCATACCTTGTAAATAGTAGCTACACAGATGTTGCCCAGATTCAAAGGGTCAATGGCTTCCAGTTTCATGCCCACTTCAAACCAACTGCCCCCTGGGTAGACAGCACGCACCTAGAACAAATTAGAGAATGATATATATGTATTGTTTTAAAAAAAGCTAAGAAACTTGACTCAGGAGACCCAGGAGCTCTAAATTTATATTTTTTTCATCTACGGTTCTGCTGGGTGAGCTGTAGTTTTTCCTTCACTGGCTGCTGTATGGAAATTACAGTGACCCACATCACTGGATGTTGCAAAAGCAAATAAGATAAACTCAGTAATGAATGTTGTCAAAGGCTTTCAAGGCTAGAATCACTGGGTTGCTGCGAGTTTTCTGGGCTGTATGGCCATGTTCCAGAAAAATGCTCTCCTGACGTTTCACCCACATCTATGGCAAGCATCCTCACAACCCCTGAGGATGCCTGCCATAAATGTGAGTGGAACGTCAGGAGAGAATACTTCTGGAACATGGTCATACATCCCAGAAAACTCACAACAAAGTAAAGAGTTTTTATCTTGTATTTCTTCTGCACTGAACCTGAAATATCAGAAAATAGGTCTTAGTAAACCTACAAGGAATTGTCGACTGTCATTAAAATGTCCAATATAGTCTAAATAAACAATTGCTAAATAAACAATACTAAAAGTATGTTTTTGAATCAAGACCTTACTTTCTTTTTCCTGATTTCTACCTGAATTCAGCTCACCCAGATGTTCTATGCCATCTCCAGAGAGTCCATTGTTCTGAGCATGAACTCCATGGAAGCTACCAACTTGTTTCATATATGAGGAGGCTGATTAATAGGTCCGCAAATCATAGTTCTGGGAAAGGTGCAGAGTTTTCCCCTCTCCCAATCAAACACTGACCCAATGATAGTGATGCACACAAGACCCTGATGCTTTCTTACCTTTTTAAAGAGATATGGGACAGCATCACAGTAAACCTTCCGGAAGGTAGGGTGGTTTGCCATCTCACTGCCCTTTTCTTTGAATAAAAAATTATAAAATAATATCATCAAGAAAAAAAGGATGAATAAAGCTAGTTACTTGTTATCTTTGATAAATGAAGCAATTTGTGATTTCAGCAATATATCAGCCTGGTTCCTTATTCTCACAGCCAGAAAAATTGCAACAGATTTCTACATACAGATATGTATCGTGTCTTAGAAGAGAATAATTACATGAACACTGATATCAGAATAAATGTCTACATGAAAAAAGCTTTGAATTAGTTGTTGTTGTTGTTCATTCGTTCAGTCGTCTCCAACTCTTCGTGACCTCATGGACCAGTCCACGCCAGAGCTCCCTGTCGGCCGTCACCACCCCCAGCTCCTTCAAGGTCAGTCCAGTCACTTCAAGGATGCCATCCATCCATCTTGCCCTTGGTCGGCTCCTCTTCCTTTTGCCTTCCACTTTCCCCAGCATAATTGTCTTCTCTAGGCTTTGCTGTCTCCTCATGATGTGGCCAAAGTACTTCAACTTTGTCTCTAGTATCCTTCCCTCCAGTGAGCAGTCGGGCTTTATTTCCTGGAGGATGGTCTGGTTGGATCTTCTCGCAGTCCAAGGCACTCTCAGAACTTCCCTCCAGCACCACAGCTCAAAAGCATCGATCTTCCTTCGCTCAGCCTTCCCTAAGGTCCAGCTCTCACATCCGTAGGTTACTACAGGGAATACCATGGCTTTGACTAGGCGGATCTTTGTTGCCAGTCTGATGTCTCTACTCTTTACTATTTTATCGAGACTGGACATTGCTTTGAATTAGAGGATGAGTAAATTGGGTGCACGAATTAACTAGTTCATTTGGCAATTCAGAAAAGTGAACAGGAGGCAATAAAGATGCCTCTAAAGTATGTACACATGCTGAGAATAGACAAGACATAGACAATCTGGTGACACAAAAAACATTTTTAACTTACACCAACACTCACCTGCTTTCTTTATGAAATGACCAACTCTTTTGGACCAGCCCACAGGGTGAATTAAGGGAGTCCACATGTGGCACCAAAAATCATCATCACTGTCCCCGTCCTCATAAAGGAGTCTCAAACGGCCACCAATCACACTGTCCACTACAGCCACACGTGTCTGGGAAACAAGATTCTTGTCTACTACTTCCACTCTCATGCCTTGACGAAAAGGATATTTCATGTTCTCAGTCATCTAAACAAAGATGAGGACAATCACTATGTGTTCCCTTTTGTATAAACAGCTGCCCCTCAGTACATCAATCACTATCTGTACTTTCATGTTTTTCCTTTCGCATTGCAGCCTCACAGCTATTCATGAATGAGAGATGCCACACCAGTCAAGCAAAATCTCAAATCAGATTTGATTTTTCCTAACACTTTCCTTGATGAGTTTGTCTAGTTCAGAGCATTTAGATATATCAGGTGGTGTTATAGTTTATGGTATTTTTAAAACCTTTCCTGTCTTCTAAAACCCCAGAGCAGGGTATAGAGTGTGTCTTCTTTTTGTCATCACAACAACTTATGAGGTTGACAGAGATCACAGAGTATGGCTGGCTGAATGTCATCTATTGGAAAGAAAGAGCACTCCAAATGATCAAGAGGCAAGAACAATTCCTTTACAAGACATTTTGTGATGTTGGAGGCTTTTTAAGCTTAGGAAAAAGACAAATAAAGGAGGGAAATGTAAAAAGTTACATGTGATGAAAGTCGATCAGGAGAAATGTGATTCTGTCATAATACTAAAACCCAAGGTCATCCACTGAAGCTGAACAGTTCAGGAGAGATAAATTGCAGCACCTGTTTTCACAATGCAGAGGTAAGAACTGTGGTACTGATTGCTACCTTCAATAGCTTTAAAAAAAAACCCTGAGCTTCTATTTGTGGCAGATGTGTACAGGGTGAGGCAGCATAACTTTCTTTTTTTAAATGTGTGCCATTCAGTCGGTTGAAGACGTAGTGGAGCGCTAGTGGTCTTGTCCAAGAGGCGGGAGTATAAAGTTTTGTCCTGACACAGTTCAGTCACCATCATGCGTTGCAACAGTGAGGAGCGTGCTTTTTGCCGTTGAGGCCTACTTTTCGAGTGGATTTGGAGTGGCCGGCCCGCTCTCCAGATTTGGCACTTGTGATTTTTTTCTATGGGGTTTTTTGAAACCCTGTGTTTATGTGAACCGTCCAAGGACCCTACAAGATTTGAAGACCAACATCCAGGAAGAAATTGTTAACATAACGCCTGCTATGCTGGCAAGAGTCATGACAAATGCCAGAAATTGGTTGACTCAGTGTATGGAGAATGCGGGACGTCACCTACCTAATTTGATCTTCAAAACTATGTAAAACAAAACTTTAGGTATGCGCCTACAGTATAAAAAAAATAAAAAAATTCTGATTCATACAATGGGGTTTTATTAAGTTTTGAAAAAAGGAAGTTATCCTGCTGCACCCTGTATTTCCTTGCATAATAGAAGAAGTATCCCTTTGAATACCAGTTGCTGGGCAGCAAAACCGGACAAGTGCCACCACCCTATATTCTGTTTATGGGCCTCCCATAACATCTACTTGAATGGTATATTGGAATCCATATCCTATGATCTGACTGTACATTTTGGTCAAACCGGCAATACATAAATTCAATCCTGCAAGGGTCTTACTTACTTATGGCTGAATAAGGACTTGAACTAGACACTATACAATAACATCCCTTTTACTTGGAACTAAAATGATCCAGTTAAAACTTCAAAACCAACATTAGTTTCTTTTCCCCATAAGCAACCCACACGAAGGTTTATGTGGTACATCTCTGGCAAATAGGTAAAACAGTTTGACACTATAGCTGCATACTATGATGTCCTGCTGCAGATCATATGTCTGGTACAAACTCATTAGGTGTCCTTAAATAAGCCACTCACTTTTTGGACTCTCCATCTAGAATGTGGGGTCAATGCTGACCAAATTCAAAAGGTAACTTTCAGGTTCAGTGAGGTAACAGAAAATAAATACTTAGAGCTGTTTTTTAAAACTATAGAAAAAACATAATAAATTATAAAACAAGAAATATTCAGCCAAATCACCATAGCTGTGCTTATTCAAAAGTAGGCTCCATAGACTGCAATGGGACTTATCTTTCTGTGTGTTTAATTTCTTTTAATAATTAGACACAACATCAAATTTGAGCTATTAATAAATAACTTAAACACAAAGACATTCTGTGCCTCTATATCTGTGAAGATAAAAACATCTTATTTTGTAATTCAGCGGCAATCTATATTTATGCAGTGGAACTTATTTTAAAGCAATCTTGCAGCTTTTAATAATATAGTCAAGGTGAAAGATTTATACAATCTGAACATAAACCAGAGCATATAGTCAAGGTCCTGAAGGTGTAAAGCGTCTACAAAGGGAAAGTATTCTTGACACTCACTGCCTAATCTCCTTTCTCTAAGCCTCAAAAGGAGAGAGCAAAAGGAAGTAGTAGAGCATAAGGCAGCCGGCTCCCTTCTCCCCTGCAACCACTAAACAGCCTTTTACAATGGACAACCAGGAGATATAGCAATTCCAAATAAGCAGAGCTGTGGAGTGCACGTTTAACTCAGAAGCTCGCAAAACCTGTACAAGCTCTTCCTTATATCCGCCATCTCACTAGTGAGAGGCACAGATAAGGTAAGAAAATCCCTTCTGGCCAAAAAATGCTTTTCAAAACATTCCAGCAGGGGGAGCTTCTTCCTCTCTTCTCTCTACAGAAATTATAGCATATCTCATATACACTTCGAGAGGAAAGAACTGTGTCTGAGACAAGGCAACGAAAACAATGAATTAAAACAGGACTTTGTTCTTTATTTAAAAGCCTTTGGAGCTAGAGCACATTATACCAATACATTGTTTCAACATCTAGATGAGAATTCAAACTACTTTACACCATTCTATGTTTCCAAATGCTTTGAACCCCATAGTAAAAGGTTAAGGTTTCCCCTTGACATTAAGTCTAGTCGTGTCCAACTCTGAGGGATGGTGCTCATCTCCATTTAAAAGCCGAAGAGCTGGCATTGTCCCCCGATGCCTCCAAGGTCATGTGGCCAGCATTACTGCATGGAGCGCTGATACCTTCCCACCATGGTGGTACCTATTGATCTTTTCATATTTGCATGTTTTCATCTGCTAGGTTGGCAGAAGCTGGGGCTAACAGTGGGAGCTCACCCCGCTTCCCAGATTTGAACTGCCGGCCTTTTGGCCGGCAAATTCAGCAGCTCAGCGGTTCAACCTGCTGCAACACTGGGGGCTCTCGAATTCCACAGTAATACATGGCATAACCAAACCCCAAGATTTGACATACTTAAGGGCCTTTTCTTCCATGACCAGGTTAACATATACGTCTGTCTCCACCACAGTTTCTAGGCAGACATAGGCTTCATACATAATCTTCAAAAGGATGGGCAAATAAATATATGTTAAAGAAGGTTTCTTCCTCACCTTTATATGGAAGTCCACTGGGATGGTTCTGGATCCCACAAGCCTTTTCATGAGGTACTCCTTCCAGTTTGTGAACTTGGAATGTATTGCTGCCCAGAAAAACATTAAGAGAGACAATATAGTTAAGCTTTTATACCTTCAATAGTACACATAATTACACCGGGCTACTTCCCCAATTTTATGGGTGAATTTAAAAGCCTCTTGAAGGTTCTTAGTTTGCCTACTGATAACTTTCACCTGCATGCTCTTTATCTTCAAAAACACCACAAGGTCCTTGAAGGGGAGATTCAGCATCATCTAAATTCAATCTAGAGCTTGGATACATTTTTTTCCCAGACAGAAACTCCCAGACAATACAGTCATGCTGGCCAGGGACTTCTGAGTGTTGTAGTGTCACAAATGTCATTCTTCCAAGCTCTAACTGCAACATACTGCTGCCTTGAATAAGTACACAAGTTTTCCAATCATGGCCTTTGGACTTCAGTATGTATTGTTTTACATACTTCTATATATGGTTTTATATGTGTTCTATTATTTGTTGATACAAAAGGGGGGGGGGTAGGTGAGAAATAATTACTATTGCTACAATAATTGTTGTTATCACACCTTAAATCTGATCTTTGAATGGACAGTTTGTCTAATTTACTTCACACTATAGAATTAAGAATTTAATACTTACTGGATCTCATACATATAGTCTAACCTGACTAGATAAAAGTTGATGCAATTGTGAATTAAATAAATCCCCATACTTCAGCGAGATCTATGACTGGAAATAATTACAGGGACTATGATTGACAGGATTACTTGGTGAGAATGACCACTGGGCATTCTGCTAGAGGGATTCTAGGGATTTTAGTCCAGAAAAGTAACTTCCTCTAAGTTTGGATAACAATGAAGATACTTACTCTGTGGGGGAACCAAGATTTTACTGTTAATGGCACACCAGCCTATAGGGTGCACGTCCACAGTGCCCAGGTTGACCCAGAAATCATGGCTGGAATCATTCTCAAATCCTTCGTAACGTAGCAGTGCCTTGTATCCTACCATGATTGAATTTTGAAGGAAAAGGAAATAAATAAATAGATAGATAAATAACCACTGTAACCACCGTTTTCTGACAATTGTAACAAAGCGTTCTGTAGGAAAACTTCTCTGCATGTCAGAATTCAGAAGAGTTACTCTTTTCAGACTCCAACTCTCAGAATCCCACAGATAGAATATATATACCTAGTGGGTTCTGGGAGCTGTAGATTTTATCATACTATGTTTCCAAATGGCTTAGTTCACGTAGAAAGCTGTAGTCCAGTAATGCAACTTTCTGAATCTGTATCTCAGGGTCTGGGCCATTACATGCCTCCTATCACAAGGCTTCTGCCAGTAGTTTTCAAAAACTGTTTTATAGCCCACCGTACTTTGCCCTGCAGCCTAATATAGTCTAATAATAGCATTCCTCAATTTTATGGTTGACACACAGCACAGCATGGCAATAATCTCCTCATGGGTAGGAGAACATATTGCATCCATGTTACAGTTTCCCTCCAGTTTAGCATCTCCACAAATTTCTTACTGGTTATTTTGGACACAGATCAACGCACCAAAGCAATACAACAAATGGTCATGGAAACAACCATGAAGAGAGACAACTATAGAATTCATTTATATGGTAGTACTCCCACTGAAGAAAGCATGTAATCTTGGTTTTATTTCTGACTCTTCTTTATCTTTTATTCCTCACATCCAATTTGCAGTGAAATAATGTATTTTTCTTCTTTGTAATATTACCCAAAATGAAGTATTTTCTAACTGCTTTCTCTGCAAACTTAGAAACTTGGTTATTTCTCATTTTGATTATTGTAATATCTTTGAACTGGATTTCTATTATTTCAACCTATCCCTCAGTTTCTATCCAACATTTTTCCTGTCTATTGATGATCACTTTTGATATCTCATCATTGATTGCCTGTCTCTTTAAAGATTTAGTAAAAGCTTCTTGCTTTAACATTTTAAGCCTACACAACTAGCGTCCTCCTGTCTTTCAGCCCTCATTTCTGCCTAGCAGCCTACCACTTCACCAGAACTTTGCTGTAGGAAAACTACATTTTCTCAAACAGTCCAAGGTTTTCTCTTCCTTGGGTTGGCTTTATTCTTTTTCATTTGCTGCTCAATATGCCTGGAAGTACATCCCTGAACATTTATGAACTGCTGTTTCCTTCACTGTTTTCAAATCTCAACTGAAAACTTTGAACTTAAGTTTAATATTGTTTTATAACTTTATTGTATGCATTTGATAGTTCATTTTTATTGTATTGCATTGGATTTTTGTATTTGTATCTGGATAATTCATTTTATAATTGTATTGTATTAATTTTATATATTTTTTCTTTCTCTTAGCTTTTTGTGTGTAATTGGATTTTCTCTACCTCCTTCAGAAAACCCACCTGCAATCTTAATCACAGAAGCAATCCAATACACACGACTGGGAAGGACAGCATCAGAGTTCAACACTTCTACCTTCATTCCTTTTATTACATCCTCCCACTGGTCATAAAGAGGCACCTGCAAGATGGAAAGTTTGGTGAAGAATGAAGCAGTTTGGGGAAAAAAACATGAAATGAAAAAGCATAGAAAGAACAGAAAATTGTTAGTATTATTTATATATGTTTATATTCAAGATGGCAGGATAAGTGTATATTAGAACTGGTGCAGTAGATAATTGGTAGATATCTCTAAAGATGTGAGATGTGTATTGTTTTCGACCCCATTTCTAATCCTGACGGAATCCAAAAGTCCAGGAAAGGAGAAGTGGCATGCGAAATCAAATGGAAAATATTTCATTCAGACAGTGAAAAGGTTTTATTTAAACTTTTTGTTGTTTAAACACAGAATTTTAAAAATCAAGTAACAAAATACTTCTTGAGATCCTTAAGGAAAAGTTCTATAACAACATGGGGAGCTTTCCACACGATTACTGGCAAAAGCACAAACATCTTCACGTTTTTAATTTATTGTTCATATTTTAGTTTGCAGAGACCAGCTGGGATTCAACTACAACAGCAAGGGGGGGGGGGGGAGATAATTCTCCGGATTGTGCTGACTTCAGCTCCCATGACTCCCAACCACAAGCCATTTTGTCGGCAACTAAGGGGCCAATAACATATGGGACACTCCATGATCCCTAGGCCCAATTTAAAATAAGCTATTAAGGTTTTCAATGTAACTGTTTAAAGACATATTTATTGTACATATACCAGACGCGCAATTAACCAGCACCCATTGGGGATTGGTGTAGATGATGGATAAATGTAGTTTCTGGTTGCTTGGGAGTGTCTATTAAAAATAGGCCTAATTAAAACTATATCCTGTACTATATCATATAATAAACTCTGTATTGACTTGATATTAAGGCTGAAATACAAAAGTAAATGAAGAAAAATGCAATATAATTTCAGCTAAAATTATTTTCTTTTCATTTTTATTTAAAGCATTATTTCTTTAAATAAATGAGTTTTTTGCCAGTTACTTTAGAGTTCGGGTTGTTTGAGTTCCAGTTGACTGAGGCCCCATCCACACAGTTGTATAAAAATCACAATAAATTGGATTACACAGCCTTGTGGACTCCAATAATTTTGTTCAAAGAAGATATTGTGGATTATCTGCCTTGATATTCTGGGTTATATGGCTGTGTAGGAGGGCCCTGAGAATCTACTGTAATTCTTCCATCAGCTGCCCTACATGTGATTCCAAATTTTTCCCATAGAACTCTACACAAGGAATCTTTTATGTTCATTACGGTTTTCAAAACCATCCTGGAAAAGCACAGTAAAGCATCCCTATAAAACAAAACCGAAGCTACTCAGGTTCCTCCTGGGTCTCTCTTACTTAGAGAGGTTGATTAGCTTCACAGACCAAATCTCTGGCACAATCTCAAGTGGTATAACATCACCACTAATTTTGATTTGGGGTCAGAAATTATTTTCTGGCAGTTTGGGAGAATGAGGGCAACCAAACCATCATGTTCTTGTAGCTGTATTGATGTTTTAAGGGAAATTTTGAAGGCAAAAGAATTTTAAGACTGAAAAATAATGTTAAAGTAAGTGGAGCTTATGGAGTCTCTTCTGGTGGGCAGGGCTTCAGGAACTGCAAAATAGCACCACACACATGCCACACTTTCTGCATTTCTGCTTTTTGTGTGTGTGTGTGTGTGTGTCAGGAGTGACTTCAGAAACTGAAAGTCGCTTCTGGTGTGAGAGAATTGGCTGTCTGCAATGACATTGCCCAGGGACGCCTGGATGTTTTGATGTTTTACCATCCTTGTGGGAAGCTTCTCTCATGTCCCCGTATGGGGAGTCGGAGCTGACAGAGGGAGCTCATCTGCACTCTTCCTGGATTCAAACCACCCATCAGTCGGTCTTCAGTCCTGCCAGGACAAGAGTTTAACCCATTGCGCCACTTCTGATACAGCACAGTATAATAGGGCATGGGGGAAAACAGGAAGTACTCACATGTTTGAAACAGCTAACAGGTGCAGCCTTGTATCCATGATCCTGCAGGTACGTTCCCCAGTCAAAGCCTGAAATGACAGCTGTGAGAAAATATAAGAGACTATCATCACATCTCAGTAGAAAAGGCTCAAGGCTGGGAAGCAGATGCAGTGAAATGTGTCCAATTACAAGGCATGTTGATGTCTTGGAAAAGCATCCTGTTACAGTAACAGCGCACATGTTTTCAACATGCAATGAAACCTTTATCTAGCATAAACGAGAAGGGTAATTAAATTGCAAGTATACTGAAGATAAAACAGGCAAATAGCTTTTCTAATCCATGTCCCAAAAACAAGGTATATATAAGCCAGACTGTACAAGGAGATCATTTAACCTAAGATCAGGAGCAAGACTCCTCCTCCATCTTACTGTGATTAAGCATTACACAGATAACAATATCAAAGGCAATAGATAGGTCTCCAAATGGCTGACAGTTCTTTTCCATACAGATGGAGAAAGATAACATACTATATTCCTTGAGGTGAAACCACATATCAGTATACTTTAAACTGATTCTTTAGGTTTGCAATCTTCATCTTTACATGTTAATCTAATTGTAGATACTGTGGCTTTTAATATGTTATAAGATTGTTTTTGGAACTTTTCTGCTAAATATAACGTTCCCTCACAGGGCTTCTTTCCCTGACCTTTGATCATTTTGATTACCCCTCTCTGGACACGTTCTAGCTTGTCATTATCCGTCTTGAATTGTGGACATAGTATTCCAGGAGAGATCTGACCAATGCAGAATGGAGAGTGACTATTGCTTTCCTCCATCTAGATACTATATTCCATTCAATGTAGTCTCAAATAAATTGGCTTTTTAAGCTCCAGCATCACATTGTTGACTTATGTTCATCCTCTTGTCCACGAAGATTTTAATCCTTATTTGGCACTTTGCCCCAATACAGCCACATATCTGCTGAGCTTTCTGTGAGAAAAAAGTGGCATTACAGATTGTGGGAAGCATGGGCTTGAGGGGGCTGAGAGAGTTCTGCTGAAAAAGCCACAGAAGAGTGGCTCTAAGGAGATAACCCTTGGTTCACTGTGGGCTCAGATAGGCCCTGCTAAAAAGACCAGATCTTTCACAAGTTGCGCCCGGGTTCTGTGAGCACATCTGCATTGTAGAGTTAATGTAGCTTGACACCACTTTGACTGCCATTGCTCAATGCTATGGAATCAAGGGAGTTGTAATTTGGTGAGATACCAAGACTCTTTGGCAGAGGAGATTTAAGAGCTTGTAAAATTACAAATCCCAGGATTCCATACCATTGAGCCATAGCAGTTAAAGTAGTGTCAAACTGCATCAATTCTACAGTATAGATGCAACCCATGCCATTGAAAATATTCCTCAGAACATTCTGCCACATTTTTGCCACATGATAACAATAGATAAAAATTATCTGATATTCAAAAAGCTATAAAATAATGTGGTATAATACTGTGAGAGTTGAACTAGGGGTGCATCTACACTGTAGACCAGTGGTTCTCAACCCGTGGGTCCCCAGGTGTTTGGCCTACAACTCCCAGAAAGCCCAGCTAGTTTACCAACTGTAAGGACTTCTGGGAGTTGAAGGACAAAACACCTGGGGACCCACAGGTTGAGCACCACTGCTGCAGACTTAATGCAATTTAACCCCATTTTATCTGCCTTGAGTTAATGCTATGCAATCCTGGAATTTGAAGTTTAGTGAGGCAACACAAGTGTCTGGCAGGGAAAGATGAAAACTTCATAAAACTACAACTCCCACGATTCCATAGCATTGACCTATTGTAGGGTGACCTATTGTAGGCTGAAGTGCCATCAAACTGCATTAAGTACACAGCCCCATTCTTGTCACAGAAGCCATTTTGCAAACCAGCATTATGCCCAAAAGTTTTTTAAAAAAGAAAACAAATTATTTCTATTTTTTTACAATGTAAAGACAGCTCTACCGAAGCAGAGCCTCAAAAAATTGGTTACAAACTCATAAATGTTCCTCTCCACGGAAATCTTTAGTAAAAGGCGAAAGATTTATACGATCTGAAGAGAAACCAGAGTATACTTTCTGCCTTCACAATGCAGCTACCAGGAGTTTAACAACTTCTAAAAATGAAAGGGTGAACATAAAATGGACTAGGAAAAGATAATTCTTTGAAACAATAGAGGTTAATCATAGTTGCAAAGCAAATTAAATGGCAATGGTATCAACAGCCATGTTTTTAAGCCCTTAAAACTTATTGACATGCATGTAGATTGCCGAAATGAATGATGGGTATGCAAATTAGTCGGCTGAGTCCTGTATGCAAAATAGTTGGCTGTGGGTCCGCCACACTCTGAGACAAAATACTGAGCAGTCAAACAGCCCTTACAGCCAGGAAGTTCTTTCTAATGTTTAGATGGAATCTTCTTCTTTTTTCTTTTTCTTTTTTTGCAATTTGAATGCATTGCTCGGCATTCAAAAAACATGCTTGCCCCTCCTCACTGTGACATTTTTTCAAATAGTTAAACACAATTATCTCAACATTCACTTATCCAAGTTAAATATACCTAGTCTAAGATGTTCCTCATAGCTTACAAATGTAATCACTTCTTTGGACTCTGGACTGATTTTTGTTGTATTATTTTTATTTTTTATTTTATATAAGTATTTTTTTATCATGCACATAGTTCTGATGAACTCGCTGTGTACTCCACAGCTTGAAACAAGTAACAGAGCTTACCATCCTGACCAGTGAGTGTTCCATCTGCCAACTGTCCTGTCCCCTGTGTATGGAGAAATGCCCCAATTTTAGCAGACCAGGCTGCTTTGTGCAAGACTTTGGCTTTTTTTGTGGGTGGCTTTCCCTGCAAAAATGTAACAAAATAACACATAAGAAAAAGAAGGTGTCCATGTGTCAGGTAGAGTGAGACAAAAAACATTCAACCATTAAACCAGAAAAGTTCCCTTATTAACATTTTTAAGGGTAAGTATAGGGAGACCTTATAGGACAGGAAGAAAATGGAACTCTGTAATCCATCACATAGCAAATTCACATTAAAACAACAGGAAAAAAATCACAATTATTTATAAGCTCCTTAATTTCTTTATCGAATAAACTCATCTCCCTTCCAAGCTGCTTTTATATGCGTAGATTATGCAGTACCATTAATTCTTCTTCTTCTCTCCAGCTAGTAGCCCCATTATTTTCTTTCCCTCAAAAGCCTCTTGTCACACAGGAATCTAAATTTGAAATAGACTACCAGCTCCGGTTGAGCAATCACAATTCCTAATGCAGATAGAAATCACTACTGCAAGCATGAGCTGCCAATACAAAATATTTTCCTTGTCTGTGTGTAATTAGTCAAGCTGGAATAACCACCAGCCCCAAGTTTCCTAATTAGAATCATGCACTAAGGATTTTTTTTTTTTAAAAAAAAAACCCTACTGTACAAAATAATAGATTGAAAAGATCAGGGCAGCAGTGAAGGGTCTGTAGCCTTCCATACATTGTGAAATCATAACAATTTTTCTACAACTGTATAACATAGCTACACCTCAGGAAACTGATTTAAATTGAGGACTGGAGGTTTTCTAATCCCGGAGAAAAGCTATTCCCAAACATTTCCAAGTCTATCCACTTCTATCTGCTGCAGCCTCTTGGCACATGCCTCATGATGCCTGAAGTTCTTATTTTGTAGGACAATTACTTTTAAGATGATAAGAATACACCTAATGGATCACACCTACTAGTCCACCTTTCTATTTAAACAATAGACAACCAGGTGCCTAAAGGAAACCTGTCAGTGTGAAATGAGGGCCAAAGCATCCTTCTTCTTATTTTCTGTTGCAAACAGCCTTAAGTGGCACATCTCCTTCAACACTAGAGGCAAAATTAACTGCTAGTACTAATAATTTCTGCCAATACCCATCTTCTCTATGAATTTGTCCAAATTGATAGACATTACTTATATTGACTTTCCAAATTATTTCTTCATGTCTACTTATACTCAGTTTAACAATTAGTGGTGGCTTTATCAAACGAGTCTTTCTCACCTGCAGCCTTGCCAGGATACTAGCCTTCTTGGAATTTGAAGAGTAACTTCTGGAGCAGGAGACACTGCAGAAACGTTTGGTCTTGGAGAAAAAGGCATCTTTTGTGCCCACAATACCACACATCTCACAGATAGCTGAGGGAGCACAAATACAATAAGTCTCAGCAGTGCAAAACATACATTCTGTGAGGAAAGCATCCGCTGTCTGGATATTCTAAAGCTGTCTGGATATTCTAAAAGTTTGATTGCCAAATTCTGCAAATAGAGTATATCAAGCTTGATTGATTGGGACTATTTCCTCTAAACTTAAGAAGAACTCCTTCTGCTTCTGCTAATGCCATGTAATGATTAGGGCAACTCTAAGCACAAGGGTTTAAAGCAGGGTATCATGTTAGACACAATTCAGCATAGTTGTAATTAATAACTAATTACTGTTACTAGTTAATAACAACAGTTCTTGCTGCTTAATCATCTGAATGAACAAACTGACAAGGAAATGGAGAAAGCATGATCCCACAAGGAATTAAAGAATATCAATAAAGTATTTTATTACACTAACTACCAAGAGCGTGAATCAAGCTAGAATGAAAGTGCATTGCTAAGGGTAACACACACAAAGATACTACATCTAAACAAAAGCTCCCATTAAAATTAAAAAAGATTAGTATTAAAGATTCTGTAACACTCCTTTTTCCCACCTTCCTTCCTCTATTTTAGACTGCAAGAGAAGAATATGGCTACTAATATTGCTACTTTGTTTTAGGCTAAGGGCATTGCCCAGAAAGTAGCAAAGTACAAAATGCATTATGGAATTTACTTATAATGCATGGTCTTAATTCCAAATGGTTACATAAAGCTACGTTAATCAGAAACAAGAAAAATGATATAATTTTTAGGCCTGGGCGGTTTCATTCGTTAATTTCGTAATTCGTTAAATATTCGTTATTTTTAGCAATTACGAAACGATTACAAAACACATTTTCAAACCCGGAAGGGTTTTAAAATAACGAAACGGCATCCCCCATACTTTTAACGAGCTTCCGCCCGTTTCGTAAATGGGATGGAGGATGCTGGTGCCCTGGGAGCCAATCCGGCGCTCCCAAGCACCCAAGCAGTGCACCGTGGCTGTTTCTGATTGGCCGGCAAGCCCTTTAAAAGTGGCTCCGCGCGGCCGTACAGCTCATTGTTGCAGAGGCGAGGGAGAAGAGAAGAGGTCCGGGAGGGTGGCTTGCATTGGGTTGGCTTGCAACTGGCTAAGCTTGGATTGGATTCATTCCTTGCTTATTCATTCCTTGCTTGGATTCATTCCTTGCTGCTTATTATTAATTCCTTGCTTGGATTCATTCCTTCCTTCGGTTTTTGTCAATTTGTTTGTTAATTTTCCATTTTTAAATATTTTTTAAAAATACCTGTCTTTTATTCTTAAAAAAAACAAAAAATATTCTTAAAAAAGAAAAGACTCTTCTGTTGCTGTGTGCTCTCGTTTGCCCTGTCTCGTGGCTGTGTTTGCTTCATATCAGGGCCAGTTTTTGGTTAATTTTGCATTTTTGAATATTTTTTAAAAATACCTGTCTTTTATTCTTAAAAAAATACAAAAAATATTCTAAAAAAAGAAAAGACTCTTCTGTTGGTGTGTGCTCTCGTTTGCCCTGTTTCGTGGCTGTGTTTGGTCCACATCAGGGCCAGTTTTTGGTTAATTTTCCATTTTTGAATATTTTTTAAAAATACCTGTCTTTTATTCTTAAAAAAATACAAAAAATATTCTAAAAAAAGAAAAGACTCTTCTGTTGGTGTGTGCTCTCGTTTGCCCTGTCTCGTGGCTGTGTTTGGTCCACATCAGGGCCAGTTTTTGGTTAATTTTCCATTTTTGAATATTTTTTAAAAATACCTGTCTTTTATTCTTAAAAAAATACAAAAAATATTCTAAAAAAAGAAAAGACTCTTCTGTTGGTGTGTGCTCTCGTTTGCCCTGTCTCGTGGCTGTGTTTGCTTCATATCAGGGCCAGTTTTTGGTTAATTTTCCATTTTTGAATATTTTTTAAAAATACCTGTCTTTTATTCTTAAAAAAATACAAAAAATATTCTAAAAAAAGAAAAGACTCTTCGGTGGCTGTGTGTGCGTTTGTCATTTGTGTAGTTCCAACCAGTGCGCTCCTTTTGCCAACAGAAAGTGCTATAATACAGTGCTCGCTCATTTGTGTAGTTCCAACCAGTGCGCTCCTTTTGCCAACACAAAGTGCTATAATACAGTGCTCGCTCATTTGTGTAGTTCCAACCAGTGCGCTCCTTTTGCCAACACAAAGAGCTACATACACTGCTCGCTCATTTGTGTAGTTCCAACCAGTGCGCTCCTTTTGCCAACACAAAGTGCTATAATACAGTGCTTGCTCATTTGTGTAGTTCCAACCAGTGCGCTCCTTTTGCCAACACAAAGTGCTACATACACTGCTCGCTCATCATTTGTGTAGTTCCAACCAGTGCGCTCCTTTTGCCAACACAAAGTGCTATAATACAGTTGCTCGCTCATTTGTGTAGTTCCAACCAGTGCGCTCCTTTTGCCAACACAAAGTGCTACATACACTGCTCGCTCATTTGTGTAGTTCCAACCAGTGCGCTCCTTTTGCCAACACAAAGTGCTACATACACTGCTCGCTCATTTGTGTAGTTCCAACCAGTGCGCTCCTTTTGCCAACAGAAAGTGCTATAATACAGTGCTTGCTCATTTGTGTAGTTCCAACCAGTGCGCTCCTTTTGCCAACACAAAGTGCTACATACACTGCTCGCTCATTTATGTAGTTCCAACCAGTGCGCTCCTTTTGCCAACACAAAGTGCTATAATACAGTGCTCGCTCATTTGTGTAGTTCCAACCAGTGCGCTCCTTTTGCCAACACAAAGTGCTACATACAGTGCTCGCTCATTTGTGTAGTTCCAACCAGTGCGCCCCTTTTGCCAACACAAAGTGCTACATACACTGCTCGCATCATTTGTGTAGTTCCAACCAGTGCGCTCCTTTTGCCAACACAAAGTGCTATAATACAGTGCTCGCTCATTTGTGTAGTTCCAACCAGTGCGCTCCTTTTGCCAACACAAAGTGCTACATACACTGCTCGCTCATTTGTGTAGTTCCAACCAGTGCGCTCCTTTTGCCAACACAAAGTGCTATAATACAGTGCTCGCTCATTTGTGTAGTTCCAACCAGTGCGCTCCTTTTGCCAACACAAAGTGCTATAATACAGTGCTCGCTCATTTGTGTAGTTCCAACCAGTGCGCTCCTTTTGCCAACACAAAGTGCTACATACACTGCTCGCTCATTTGTGTAGTTCCAACCAGTGCGCTCCTTTTGCCAACAGAAAGTGCTATAATACAGTGCTCGCTCATTTGTGTAGTTCCAACCAGTGCGCTCCTTTTGCCAACAGAAAGTGCTATAATACCGTGCTCGCTCATTTGTGTAGTTCCAACCAGTGCGCTCCTTTTGCCAACACAAAGTGCTATAAGACAGTGCTCGCTCATATTTGTGTAGTTCCAACCAGTGCGCTCCTTTTGCCAACACAAAGTGCTATAATACAGTGCTCGCTCATTATTTGTGTAGTTCCAACCAGTGCGCTCCTTTTGCTCATTATTTGTGTAGTTCCAACCAGTGTGATGAAACGCTTTCTTCCCGGCTTTTCTAGTCGCAAGGGCCAAGTGCTATCGCGAATACCGAAGAAAGGCAGGGGACTGAAGATGAACACATTGACAAGAAGGGAACATTCATCCAACGAGATGGTTATTGAAACACCCACAGATGCTTCAACCAGCTGTGAGATGGCAGAACCTTCTTCTTCATCAGTTCGAAAGACTCTACGTTCAGATCCTGATGTCGTTCCAAGTACCTCTGATATTACTTGTTATGAAGAGGAGGGCGAGGAGGCGGACGTGTCAGAGGAATGGGAGGAAGACAAGATGGAATGTGCTTCCACCACAGGAATTAGTGATCAAGAGGACTGCATGCTGATGGAGGGCGAGCTACAGAAACAACCAACGATTATACTCCCTTTCACAAACACCGACAGTCCAAACACGAGCATGAGTACATCTGAAGTGCCTAGTAGGGGTAGGCCGAGATCGCTCCTATGGGATCATTAATTTTGGTAATATGATACAAGACCTACTGATTCAGTGCAACTTATTCAATCAGTAACTAACAAGATTTCTCTGGGCCTCCTCTGCCATGCTATCACAGTTGTAAAGTACACTTCTCTTTAGAGTACAATTTATGCTGACATGGGTATCAATTCTCTCAATTTTTAATAAAAAATGTAATTTAATATGTTAAAGGAAACATTTCCCACTAAATAATTCTAATCCCTCTCTAAACAGAGCATAGTTGCTTCATTAGTTATGGGCTTCTTTGACAACTAAATAGAGCACCAAATACCTGGCTCAGATCCATTATCATCTGACACCCGGGGAACAGGTGTTTGGGACTTTGAAGGGGACACAGGTATTTCCCCAGCTTCTCTATCCCCTGCTTCATTTTCACTAGAGTCTTCCAGATAGGATGTACTGGCACTGTCTGCGCTGGTGCTGTAACGCCGACAGCTGTCATAACCCCCAAAAAGATCCAAGTCATCATCCTCTTCCTCCTCCTCATTCCGCTCAAAAGATGAGACTTTCTGGAGGGCAGGAGGTTCCAACTAGCAGTGAAACAGACCAGAGGATTTTGAAACATCTACAGGTAACAACACATAACAAGTAGAAAAGAGACATTCACTTCAGTTAACAGCAGAATCACCCCAGTGGCCAGCAAAGTAAGAACTACTGATGCTATGTATTGGGTCTCATGTCTCACAAACAGAAGTATTTGTATGAATATAAAGAAAACACAACTGATATACATACAGTTGGCACTCTGAATCCAGGAATTCTGCATCCATGGATTCCACCATCCATGGATTAAAAACATTTTTTAAAGTTCCAAAAAAAAAAAAAAACCCAACCAAAACAGTAATTTTACCATTTTATATAAGGAATTGCACTTTATCATATCACTGTATATAATGGCTTCCACTAGAGTTTTGGAACAAAAGCCAGCAGATAGTAGGGGCCCACTGTACAAATATATAAAATCATAACTTAAGCCAGAAGAATCTAATATGATATGCATACAGTAAAAGTTCTCTCTGTGGTTGCGGGAATAGTAGTATCACAGCTCTTCAAACTCTACCAATTTTTTGTCATGTCAGGAGTGACTTGAGAAACTGCAAGTCCCCTCTGGTGTGAGAGAATTGGCCATTTGCAAGGGCATTGCCCAGGGAATGCCCGGATGTTTGATGTTTTATCATCCTTGTGGGGAGGCTTCTCTCATGTTCCTGCATGAGGAGCTGGAGCTGATAGAGGGAGCTCATCAGTGCTCTCCCCGGATTCGAACCTGCGACCTGTCGGTCTTCAGTCCTGCCAGCACAGGGGTTTAACCCACTGCGCCACCGGGGGCTCCTTAACTCTACCAATGACTTTCATCTATCTTTAGGGAACCCTGCTCAATCTGATTCGAATTCTCAAAGAAATTCTTCCACTTCCACTGTGGAACCCAGACAAAACATTTTGGAAGAATCTTCAATAGCTAACTTCGAATCCTTTTCAACTGTTAAGTTGACCCACTGGGCCTGTTCTCACCCAGTTTAACTGAAGAAATAGGCAAGAACAGCATTCTTAATACTGTTGCCCAATGACTTGGAATTCAATTTCCATGGTCCTCTGTCACTGGCCATGTAGATGAGAACTACAGGTTGAGGAAGGCTGCCCTAGTCTATGCTTAGTGACACCATTATCCTTCTAATCCAATCAATGCATCACAGATCAAAATCAAGTGCAAATATATTACAAATGCTGCATTTCAAAATGTTTGTTTACTAAGACAAACCTTAGAAAATCCCAAGTAGCATCTGAATGGTTCCAAATTATTATTATTATTATTATTATTATTATTATTATTATTATTATTATTTACACCCCACTTTTTCTCTCCACAAGTAGACACAAAGCAGCTTACATTAAAAAACATTTCAGTACAAATTAAAATCTAAAAACAATAAAACAGAACTTAATATCGTGGGTATTAAAAATCAGTTAAAATCAATACATCTTCAAATGAAAAACCACAGCAACCCCTGCCTTAAATCTTAAAAACTGTCTTCTTTGAAAGCCTGTCTTAATAAAAAAAAGTTTTAGCCTGTCACCAGAAGAACAGCAGGGAAGGGGCAATTCTGGCTTCTCTGAGCCGGGAATGCCAGAGTTTATGGGCAGCCACCAAGAAGGCTCCCTCTCTCGTTCCCACCAACTGAGCTTGAGATGGAGGTGGGACTGAGAGAAGGGCCTCTCCTGAAGATCTCAGGGCCTGGAGAGGTTCATATAAGGAGATGGAGTCTCCTTACACGCCTGGACCTGAGCTGTCTGGGCTTTACTTTGAATTATGCCCGAAAACAAATTGGCAGCCAGTGGAGCTGGTGCTACGAGGGGGGAGGGGGGGGCTTGTCTGCTCCCTGTAGCCAACCCCAGTTAGCAACATGGCTGCAGCTCTTTGGAACAGCTGAAGTTTCCGAACACTCTTCAAGGGCAGCTCCACATAGAGCGCATTATAGCAATCCAGACGATATGTAGATAAAGGATGAACCACCGTGGCCAGATCTGGCTTCTCAAAGAACAGGTGCAACTGGCACACAAGTTTTAATTGTGCAAAGGCTCTCCTGGCCACTGAGTCCAGGAGAATCTCCTAACTGTGGATCTGTGTCTTCAGGAGAAGTGTAACCCCATCCAACACAGGCTGGATCCCTATTCCCTGATCTGCCTTTCAGCTGACCAGGAGCACCTCTGTCTTGTCTTGATTAAGTTTCAATTTGTTTGCCCTCACCCAGTCCATTACTGATGACAGACACTCATTCCAAAGAAGAGAATTTTAAAGATATTATCATATCCAACCATTGCACTCAATATAAAAAGGACAGAATAATAAACAGCAAGCCAGTATCAAAAATTGTTTCCTCTCAAACATTCAACACAATATGTTCAACACAACATACCACATTTTGTGACATCATTACTCTGGCAGATCTACAATGACCCACTAATCTGGGGCCAGTCCCAAACCTGAAACACATATAATTGAATTCATTTTTCCATCTTGCCATACAAAAAATTGAATTCATTTTTCCATCTAGCCATATAAAGGATATAATTTTGTCCAGATGTTACATAAGAGTGGTGGTACATTCCATAGCAGTTTGTCCTTCTAATTATGCTATTTCCTCAGGTAAGCATTCTTAGGACTTCTTGGGATAAATTACCACAGGAGTCAACTGGATGGCTGTGGGGGGAATCAACTGTGGATTAAGCATCTTCTCTGCTAATCCAAATCCGTAATAAGGTTATAGCATTAATTAGGAACAACTAAAATTTCCTGAAATCTTCCAAAATCAAAAATAGTCCACATGTTTGGATAAGGTAGTGCCATCTTTGCTTCCTGATACTTCAAAGTACACAAACTTTGTTTCATTAACATTAAATTCTTATATAACGTTGTCTTCAGGACATGTGTACAGGCATTCTAACTATCAGTGTGAATGCCAGTTAATGGAGAACCTACTGTATTTGCATACACGTTAAGAGACAATCTAGGGCCCTTCCACACATCCATGTTGTTGTTCATTCGTTCAGTCGTCTCCGACTCTTCGTGACCTCATGGACCAGCCTACGCCAGAGCTCCCTGTCAGCCGTTACCACCCCCAGCTCCCTCAAGGTCAGTCCAGTCACTTCAAGGATGCCATCCATCCATCTTGCCCTTGGTCGGCCCCTCTTCCTTTTGCCTTCCACACATCCATATAACCCAGGATATCAAGGCAGGAAATTCCACAATATCTGCTTTGAACTGGGTTATCCGAGTCCACACTGCCATATAATTCAGTTCAAAGCAGATATTGTGGGATTTCCTGCCTTGATATTATGGGTTATATGGCTGTGTTGAACGGCCCTTTGAGATGGGGCCTAGGCCTAAGCAAGAGATTTCATACTGAAGGCGTTTTTATGCACAATATTTGTAATAATTTTTGCATTAAAACGTACTTTGTGTATCCATAAACACAGGGAAGCAAAGGGGGGTCCCCAGCTCATCCACTCATGTTGAGTATTTTTGGATTTCCAGGCGAGGGATGCTCACTCAACTCGTAACACAAACCTCTCTGCCTTTTTGTGACATTTCCTTTGGCCAAGGAACACGCAACACGGAAAGCACCGCCAGCGCTTTCCCTCGGGATTCATTGAGAAGGACAGAAGCTGCCTCTGGCTTCTCCACCTCGCACCAATTTCCCACAACAGCAGCAGCAGGCTTGCTTTACCTCGCTTTCATCCCGCTCCATGGCTTTCTTCCGCCCCCTCTGCAGAGAAGCGGGTACTAGTATTTACCTCAGGCACCAAAACAGCGCGAGCGCGAGTGCGAGCGCGCACGAGCGCTTGCGCATGCGCTCCCCGACTCGCGGGAGGCACGAGGCGCGAGCCGCCGCCAGGAGTCAGGGCAGCTTCGCGGTCCTCGAAAGCCCATTGGCTTAGGCACGTTCTCGCTTCCGCCAATGGGAAGAGAGGATCGGCGGTGGCAGCGGAAACACTCCGAGGGAGGGAGGAAGCCACACGCCCGCTGCCCCAAAGCATTTCGGGAGTTGTATTCCTGGCCTCGCAAAAGGTTGAAGAGACGTTTGGAGGATGTCCAGCAATTTGGTTTTGCCCCTTGAAAGGAAAACGGTCATGGTCCCTCAGTCCTGTTGTATGAGAATGGCTCCAAAGGGGGCAAAGGGAGGGAGGGAGAGAAAGGTCACCTGGACTTTGTGTTCCGGCTTCATTGGCTTCGTATTCACGACATAGACAAACAAACAGCGAGGGCAGGCTGGATTAACTTGCCATTATTAACTCCCCTTTAGATAACAGATTAGCAAATAGTTATACATAGGCAGGCATGTAGCCGGGGGGGGGGGCTTCCCCCTCCCCAAATTCTCATGGTGGTCCGCGAGAAGGCCTTGCTAGTGCATTATTTAAACCAGGCAGGCCCGTAGCCAGGATTTCGTTTCGGGGGGGGGGGGGTGAGATTCGGGGGGGGGGGGGCTGAGTCTGCGTGAAAGAGGGTCTACCCTAGCAAACCTTTTGTATCATTACCCCAATACCCCCATGCATATGGGATATATTGAGTATGGTGATCAGATCATGATATGAATAAACATAACAGTTTAAATAATGCACCAGTAAGGCCTTTTCACGAACCACCATGAGAATTTCGGGGGGGGGGGCTGAAGCCCCTCAAGCCCCCCCCCCCCCCCCCCCCCCCCCCCCCCCCCCCCCCCCCCCCTCGAGCAACCCCCCCCCCCCCAGAATGGGGGGTGGTGACTTGTAGTCCTGCAAAGGGCAAGGGCACCAGACTGCACAGTAGGGGGTTAAGTCTTGATGGCGGAGGGCCCCCACCAACGATTGGCCTGCACTGCAGCGGAGAGAATTTGGCTCCGCTGGCCTCACCAAGGTATCCAGGGCCCTTTTGGCGCAGTCCTCGGGTTCTCTCCTCTTGAGGAGAGACCCTACTAAAAGTAGCTCGATATCAGTTTTGGTCACATTGCCAAGGCACTGACAACAACAAGGACCCCACGAGGCTTTTGGGAAACGGCTGGATCTTGGGACTTCTGCCCTTTGTGAGAGTTGTAGTTTCCCAAGGACCAAAGTGTGAATCAGTTGCAGCACAGCTGGGGTTTCATCTGCCAGCCTTCCCAATGATCATGGACTCTCTGCCTGCATGTCTTGGACTTCAGTACATACTATCTCCTTCATGAACTTTCCTCAAAGACCTTTTAAAACATTGGACTTCAGGCTTCTTCATGAAAATTAATCCTTTTATTAAATATACTTGGGATGTGGGACAAAGATGGGGTTTTGTTGCTATGAAATGCTTATGATTTGAATGTATGTATCTTGCTAGGAAATATCTTTTGCCCCCTTTACCCTTGCCCTTTGCCCCAAAAAGGCGACCAGGAAAAACCACTCAGTGCCCAAGGGGGCTGTTGTTCCCTCGAAACCAACCTTATCACAGACATTTGCATGGACAATAGCAACTGGAAATTCTTTGTTTATTTTCTGAGTTGGTCTGGTAAACAGGGAATTTCTCTGGTCACATTTTAGTTTAATCACAAAGGGGCGAGACTGGCCCCAGGGGTCTTCTTGCCCGGCTCTGTTTGTTTCATCCAAAAACCCATCAAAACCAACACACCTTATCTGATCCTGGAAGGGGAAGACTTGAATCAAATGATTATCCCTAATCACTGATCCATCACAAGAACAAAAAAACTAGTTTCCTTGGCTGGCTGATCCCTCGGGCACAGGACAGTGGAATGTCATCATCCTCTTTGGACACAATGTCCCTCTTCCGTCCTGCCTCCCTCTCCCTGATTTGCTAAGGAGCCGAAGAGGGAGGGAGTTTTGAAACTTTCAAACCTGTATTTTGCTATAAATATGCCTCTGATCAATGTACTGATATGCTTGCATGTGAACGATCACTGCAATTGCATCCGCTTCAGCTGAATCGCTCATTAAACCTCGATGCATCTTCTTCGCCTTGGCAACAGTCTCATTTCAATTATTAATATTAATAAAATTGCTGGAATCAGGCTTCTCTGATGGCTCGCCAAGGTCATGGGCCCTGTTTGGAGCGGTCCTAAGGGTCTCTCTTACTGGGGAGACCCTCCTCAAGTCCGTATTGACTTCAAAACTATGGCCTGGGGACCAGATACGGCCCTCCAAGGTCATTTACCCGGCCCTTGCTCAGGGTCATCTTAAGTCTGAAATGACTTGAAAGCACACAACAACAAAAAACAATCCTATCTCATCAGCCAAAAGCCCACACTTCCCACTGAAATACTAATGAATTTATATTTGTTTAAATTGTTCTTCATTTTATTATTGTACTAGCTTGGGGACCCGGCGCTGCCCGGGTTATTTGAGAAAGTGGGTAATGGCGGTTCTGTATGCCAAGTTTGG